CCCTGCTCTAGCCCTGCATGTGTGATCTAGCTGCAGCTGCTCCCCACATCCTTTAACTTTAGGGTTCAGATATTTTGTCTAAGCAGAGAAAAGTAAGGTAGTGGCGCATGCCTAAAATTCCAACACTCTGGAAGGCTGAGAAAGGAGGATAGTCATAAAAAGAAAAAACCAAGGGCCGGCCAGATAGCTTAGTGGATTAAAGCACCTGCTTAGGTAGACTCAAGGCCCAGGAATTGGATCTCCGGGCCTGCCATGCTGGCCCTGCCCCCAGGGCACGCTGAGAAGGTGATTGAGTGGGCACGGTAGCGTGCACCCGTTATCCTAGCACTTGGGAGGCTATAAACAGGAGGATCACTATGAGTCTGACCTATGCACTGTGACCCTGTAGACCCTGTAGACCCTGTCCTAAATACAAAAAAAAAAAAAAAAAAAAAAAAGAGAGAGAGAAAGAAACAAATTGCAGGTCATATACCTTGAATGGGGGTACTAAAAAGTTCCCTTAAAAAAAATAGCTTTTGTTTTTCATAACAGTTCCTGGTTCTCAGCAGAATTGAATGGAAGGTACAGAGGCATCTGCCCTCTACCCTGACCTCACACTGCACAGCCTCCCTGGTAATTACCATTCCTGTCAGGTGTTAATTACAGTCAATGAGCCCATACTGCCAGGTCTTTGTCACCGAGAGACTAGTTTCAGTCAGGATTCCCTCTCCATTCTGTGGATTTGGGCAAAGGTTTAATGACCCACCACCACTGTAGTATCATACAGAGCAGTTTTACTGCCATGAAAGTCCTCTACCCTCAAGACCCACTTTTGATGTAGTTTTTGAGAGCTCGATGAAGACAAAAGAATCAGAGTTTGTGTGTAAAATAGATTCCCCAAAGGAACACTGGGCAGGAGAGGGCTGCCCAGGCTCTTCTCCTTATGCTCCGGAGCCTGTTGTTCATGGTAGCTGTACAGTTCCAGGTGACATGAGTCATCCCAAACCTTCTGAGTAATCACCCAGCATTGCAGTAAGCCTTCACTTCTGCTTGAGCATCACATTCTCCTGTATTCATGTGAGTGGTATCCTTCCTTTATTGGAGACAAGATTTTGCATCAAAGAGAAGAGTCTCTGAGACTGTTTAATTGCTGTGACATCAGATCCCCTGCAGTAACGTCTGAGATGATTCTCAGAAGGGGAGGATCAGGCTGATTATCTGAGTTGTTTGCAGTGGCATTTAGATGCATTGAACTTTTATAGCAACTTTGAGAAGGACTCTGTGCCCAGCCAATTACTTTGGCTGTGTTGTAATTGTTTAAAAGTTGTGGATTCCTTCTGTGGGTGTAAAGCTTTGAGAAAATCAAACTTCATGGCTGAGGGGTAGCTCAGTGGTAGAGCAGGTGCTTGGCATTCAGGAGGCTCTGAATCCCAGCATCGAAACAAACAAAACGTTTACTTCTTTATTAACTGTCAACAACTTTTTTCATACCAAGACTTTTTTCAGTGTTGTCAATAACAAGCAAATTTGGTTTTCATTTGACATTCTGCTCAACTTTAATAGAACAGAAAATTTTGTTTTTTTACCAAGATGATGCTGAAGGCAAAGAAGGAAGCCCCTGCTCCTCCCAAAGCTGAAGCCAAAGCAAGAGCTTTGAAGGCCAAGAAGGCTGTGCTGAAAGGCATTCATAGCCACAAAAAGAAGATAAAATTTCACCCACCTTCCACCATCCCAAGACACTGCGGCTCTGGAGGCAACCCAAATACCCTTGGAAGAGCGCCCCCAGGAGAAACAAGCTTGACCACTGTGCCATCATCAAGTTCCTCTGACCACAGAGTCAGCCGTGAAAAAGATCGAGGACAACAGCACACTCCTGTTTATGTATGTCAAAGCCAGTAAGCACCAAATCAAACAAGCTATAAAGAAGCTAATGACATCAGTGTTGCCAAGGTCAATACCCTAATCAGACCTGATGGAGAGAAGAAGGCATATGTTTGACTGGCTCCCAATTATGATACATTGGATGTTGCCAACAAAATTGGGATCATCTAAACTGAGTCCAGCTGGCTAAATCTAAATATATACTTTTTTTCCCAGTAAAAAAAAAGAAAAAAGAAATTTTAAAACACTTGGCTTGATGGTCAGTGATAGAGGAAAAGCAGACTGCATAATGGGGACAAAGGTCATCATAACTGCTAATGACCATTGGCGTCGGCTGGACTTAGCCCCAGGGAACCTGAGAGGCAGACTCTCAGGACCACGTCTGTGTGGTAACTGTCTCTGTGTGGCCGCTTCCACAGTTCAGGGGCAGAAGAGATCTCAAACCTCAGATCATCCAACCTACCTCTTCTGTTACAAATGAGAAAAACAGTGGCAGAGAGGGAGGGGAGATGTTTTGCTCAAGAAACATAAAACTGGGGAAGAAGGGAAGAATGTGGCTGTCTTGGGTATTTTTATCTGAACACATGAGGCCATTTTTATAATACTTCTGATTTCTATTTTTTATAGTATTATAAAATTCTCAAACTGCTATTGTATTTTCTAGAAATTTTTAAATTGATATCACGTAATAATAAAAGCAAGGACAATAGACAAATTTACATGTGATCCTGCAGCTTCCTGGAGATGGGCTGGAGATCTAGGAATGAGAAGCTGATTTATAATAGATAGCCTAACTTTAGAAACCATTGGTGAGGGGCTAGGGAGATAGCTCATCAGTCTAAGTGCCTGCCTGGCAAGTACAAGGACCCGGGTTTGATCCCTAGTACTGCATGCCCTACTGGCCTTTGAACCCACAGTATGTTGTTCTGGCCCCCAAACTGAGCTTGGTGGCACACATTGCTGGGGAGGCTGAGACAGAAGGATCACTACAAGTTCAAGCTGCCTAGTGAGACTCTGCACCAAACAAATACATAAGTAAAAGATTAAAAAAAAATTTAGAAACCATTGATCAGTTATTAACCCAGTAGCTCAGTACCACCAGTCCTCAACAGTTCATTGAATTCTCAGTTATATGAGTCAGGGATAGAAATTATGCACAAGATGAAAAAATTCTAAATTAAAAGAAAAAGAAGGGCCAGTGAGATAGCTCAGCAGACTAAAGTGCATGCTTAGGCAAGCGTAGGCAAGCACAGGGACCACGGTTCAATCCCTGGCACCACATGCTGCGCCAGCCCCGCCCCCAGGGCAGGCTGAGTGGGCCAGAGTCTGGGCAAAGTGGCATAGACCTGTAATCCCAGTGCTGGGGAGGCTGAAAGCAGGAAGATCACCACGAGCCTAAGCTGCATAGTGAGACCCTGCACCAACCAAACATTAAGAGAAAGAAAAGCTAAGAAAGTACTTGAGCCCTTGTTGTGAGGACAGTTCATTGATAGGGATTAGGAAAATTAGGGCAAATTTTAAAAAAAGGAAAAACGAATGGAGCCAAATTAAAGGTATATAAAGGTTTAAGCTAGAGAGTTGGAGAAAAGACAGAGCAAAAATGAGAGGCTACAAGCTAGGGTTACATGCTAGGGAGGAGCGGTGACCGGGAAAGGAGGGGGCGGGATGTAGCTGTGACCCACAGAGGCCATGCAGCAAGACTGTTTCCCAGAAGACTTGAGTGACTCTCGTCTCGGTGGGAGGATTATAGGCTCTGTCTTGCGCATGGACTGTGCTTGGCAGACACATGATCAGCTAGTGTGGGGCTGCCAACATTGTCCATGACTAGTTTGTTACCTGTCCATGATGATGTAAGTACAGACAGCAAGTGCAAATGTTTAGGAACTCATACAACAACCAGAATGCCGGAGTAACTGGAGTCTGTTGACTGCCGTGACAAAATCATTGGGAGGTAGGCCAGGCCTGTAATCCCAGCACTCCAGAGGCTGAGGCAGCCAGATCGTTGCGAGTTTGAGACCAGCCTGGACTACATAGTGAGCTCAAGTTTAGTCTGAACTGCATAATGAGATCTTGTCTCAAAAAGACAAAAAAGTGGGGGCCTGGCCCTAGCTCAGCTCTTTAAGTGGCTGCTTCCACAAAGCTGTCAGCCTCAGGTTGCTGTAGTTCAGTTCCCACAACTCCAGCCAGCCAAACCTGCCCTGAAGGCATTCGGAGCAAAAAAAAAAAAAAAAAAAAACCACAAAAACAAAAAAGAAAAGAAAAATTACTGTTTTGACTGTTTGTCTCCTTTACAAAAGTGTGAAGTATGCCAAAGGATAACTATCCAGAATATGTAAAGATTTGCTGCCTTTAGAACAATTAGAGAAAAAAAGAGCAATGTGAATGGGCCAGGGGCTTCACAGACCCATTTGTCCACAGAAGCAGAGAGAGACGGCAGGTGGGGGGCGAGCAAAATGCACTGGCAGCCTCAACAAGGCACCATCGCCGCTTGGTGGTCGGCAGTGCGTCGTCTGTAGGCTGTGTGGCTCTGCAGGTGCTTTGCACACTGCAGGAGAGGCTGGCACTTACAAAAAACATTCAGTATCATCTTCCATTTTTTAAATTATTATTTATTTTAATGTATTTGGTACAGGATCTCACTACACAGCTCAGACTCGTAGTGATCCTCCTGTTTTCAGTCTCCCAAGGTGCTGGGATTACAGGCGTGCGCTAGCACGCCCAGTCTCAATTGCCCTCTCAGCATGCTGGGGGGGGGGGCCAGCACAGCACCCCGGAGATTGAACCCTTTTCCCTGGGTCTGCCTAAGCAGGCGCTTTAATCCACTGAGCTATCTGAACAGCCCAATTGTTGATATATCTTAACCTTTGCTTTAGGTAGTGGATGTGAGGAGTCCTTGGTATACTGTTGAAAATAGATACACAGTTGTTTTGCCTTTTAAGAAGTAATGTTTTGAACATTGGAACCAGTATTTTATAGTTGAAAGCTTAAAAAATATATTGATCTAAAATAAAGCTAAACTGCATTTTCTAGGTGGAGGTGCATATGCTGCTGTCATATACTTTGTAGAGAATTGAGTGCAGAAGTATTTATAGCTATTTCTGTTCTTTCATAGAAATTTTACATTTTTTTCCCTTTCTTAGGACAAAGTTAAACTATAATCCTCCAAAAGATGATGGATCCACTTATAAGATTGAACTTGAAGGGATATCGGTAATGGTTATGAGAGAGATCCTGGATTACATCTTCAGTGGGCAGGTACGAGACCCGGGAAGAGGCCAGTGGAGAGGCCACTGAGCTCCGCATGCTGCAGCACCAGCGCAGTAACACCCTTGTGCTCATCTTGTCGCTATGGGCCTGGCTTGTGCCTCCTCCTTGCAGCAGCACCCCACACATGTTCTTCTGGGCTCTGCACTAAAAGAGAAGCACACAGAGTAAAACTGATCCAAATTTGAGTCTGGGTTTTGCCATTCTGAGGTCTGCCTTCTAGCATAAAATATGAAGAGTGTAACCAGCCCATCCCCCCTTCCTTTTTGTGTGTTTTTGTACCTTGAAGCCAGTCTTGCTTAGTGACCACCTGCTGGGGACCATGTTCTGTCTCTCAGGCATTGTAGAAATGATGAGTTCCTTGTGCATCATTCCCAGAAGGGGTGTTCACAGAGATGACAGACACTCACAGTCGTCTCTGCCCACCGTGCCCATGCTTCCTGATTTCCCTTTTCTGTCCATACAGAACAGAATGTATTTCTAGAAGTATATTTGTTCCCTGAGGTGGCAGTGAGTGGCTAGCCTTTCTTTCTTTCTGCCCCCTCCCTGCAGCCATCTCGCTGGTTCACAGCGCAGGATGGGACTCCTCACTGGAACCTTGGGTGTGAGGGGCAGGCTTTTCCACAGGAGGAGGCTGGCGAATCTTCTGTGTGGCTGTGTGAGAACCTTCATTCTTGCTGCGACCATGTGCCCTGCTCTCTCCCTGGTCCTTCATCACTCCTATTTTTCTTGACTTTTCTGTGAGGGCTGTTTCTCTTACAAGTTCTCAAGCATGCTGAACCTGCTGCCTGTCTTCTCTCAGCGTATCCATTCTGTCCAGAGTTAAGCTCCGTGACTCTCATCTTTTTGCTCTGTGCTCCTCCAGACACAGGCAGTGGGTGGGCACATACAGTGCTGTTAAAAATGAATGAGTTTAGAGCCCAGGAGACACTGTAGCAACACACACCCAGGCATGCACCCAGCTTCCTGCCTGGTTCTCAGGTTCATAGGCATTGGTGTGAGCCTCAGAGGGGGTGGGTCAGGGAGAGCGTGATCAGGGTCAGGCAGGTCTGACTGTCCCCAGTTCACATTTGAAACAGGCCTGCTGGGTGAGCTATAATGAACTCCTGAATTGGAGTTTAGTTTTACTGAGATGCAATTTCATGTTTCTTCGCTTGCCTGTATGTGAGTAGTCTACAGCTATCCTCTGTCTTGCGGCTAAATTAAGATGCATGTAAATAGATTTTTCCTTTCTTGGATACTGCTTTCCAGTTTGGTTGCTAACTCTCTAAGGCAGTTGGCAATCACAGGTTTTATTGTGTGCCATATAAGAAGTGTAGTGTGTGGTAAGTAGTGTCTCTGCTATGCTCTGAATGTGCTCCTCTGCACACCCCAGCATAGGAAAGCACCCTTGCTCTGGCATTTGCCAATGAGGGTGACCTTGGCACTGTTTAGTGGCTCCTACCCCAACCTGCTTTACCGTCACATGGGGAAACTGATGTGGGTAGAAAGAGGGGTGGCAATGAGCAAAAATAAACTAAACTATAAGTATTTTTCAGTGAGGAAAAAATAAACTAAAAATAAATTAAGGAAAAACATTCATAATGCAGGAAAAAAATCCTCACAGTAGGGATTTGTACCAAAGGGTAGTCTTGAGGCCCAGTTGTATCCATAGCATTGGGTACGGTGTTCGGGGATTCAGAATGAGGCTTCTAAGAGGGTGGATGGAACCTGTTTCTTCAGTTTGACATACTGCTGGAGCATAGCAGAAAGGTAAATTATTGTGCTTGGAGCCCTGGGCATTCATACTTAGAGGCACCTCCTACGGTTTCCCATGGAAGGCAGAGCTTCCCTTTCCTATGCATCCCACCAGGTTATGGGCATGACCACCACCCAGGGGTAGGGGTTGTCCACTTGCCCAGCCAGAGAGGACCGAGGAAGAGCTAATGGGGTCTCATGTGTTTATGTGGGTAGGAGGTTCCTTAGAGCCCACATGCTCCTGAGGTAGAGCTGTGTGATCTTGTCAGTATTCACTCACCGTTGACCTATAGGAGCAGAAATGTCGTGTGGTTTAGCCTAATAGAGGAGAGAGTTAGGTTTTAAAATATCTACATTCCAATGTAAAGTGTTTCTGGTCCTCTTACAGATTAGGCTAAATGAAGATACAATCCAAGATGTGGTACAAGCGGCAGACCTGCTGCTGCTGACCGACCTCAAGGCTCTGTGCTGTGAGTTCCTGGAGGGCTGCATTGCAGCGGAGAACTGCATCGGCATCCGGGACTTCGCTCTGCACTACTGCCTGCACCATGTCCACTACCTGGCCACTGAGTACCTGGAGACTCACTTCCGGGATGTCAGCAGCACAGAAGAATTCCTGGAGCTGAGTCCTCAGAAACTCAAAGAAGTGATTTCTCTTGAGAAGTTGAATGTTGGCAATGAAAGATATGTGTTTGAAGCAGTAATTCGATGGATAGCTCATGACACAGAAGTGAGAAAGGTACTGTCATTTATAACATGGTCTTATGTTGGTTTTTTTCATTTATTTTTTAATCCAAATAATAGATTTGAGACCTGAAAGGTACCTGTAAGACATCTTCCCATCTATGACTAAGATGATCTTTCAGACCAGTCTGCACAGGAACATAATATCTGTTGGATATTGCATTTTAATGGGGAAACACACTTTAAACTTAAGCTAGAGACTACAGAACTACTCTTCAGCCTCACTCTCAGCGCTCATCCTGCTTCCTGCATCCCTGGGTGTCTCTTCTGCATGCAGGTGGCCTCAGGTGTGCAGCAGAGAGCTGGGTGTGGGGCTCACCCTGGGGTGACCGATGGCCTGGGGGAAGGTAGGAGGGCTCTGGCACAGTGTGGCCCTCAGTTCCACCTGAGGGGAGATTCTGGGGAGAGAGAATCCTAGGGAACAGCAGTCTTCAGGTCCGCTCTGGGCAGGGGCTCGGAGAAGGAGCCGGAACTGGGAGTTGGCTCTCTGCTCTGTGTAAAGCTCTGATTGCTCTTTGCAATATAAGAACATATTAGGCTAGTTTCAAAGAGTAGATTTCCGGTTGCATAATTGTACTATTGACTTAAGTTGGATAATTCTCAGGTCCTGTTTTAAATTTATAGTCAATCTGACTTGGACACACTCTTTTCTGTGGCTTGGGAGAGGGAGAGAAGGCTCCAGGATGCCCTGCTCACCATGACTTCTGAAAACACTGTTCCTGCCAGCGTCTGCCAGGGCTTTTGCCTCAGTGAGAGGACACTTGAGGGGCCTGGTTGCCAGGGAAACAAGGCAGTTCTCTGTCCTTTGGCTAATCGGAACCTCATGCCATTAAGACTGTTGACTTGTATTAGTCAGCGCATAGAAGAATGAACCTTAAAGTGATATTTCAAATCCATGAAAATCTCTTGAGTTTCTTGTATTTCTCTTATAATATGAAAAAAATTTACTACGTTGCACTGAGCTTTTATCATATGTAATGTTCTGTAAGTATGATTTAACTCCACCTATCTAGATATAGTTCATGAAATAAATTATATTCTATTTACCTATTGGAAAAGGAGCCTTTTCAGAGAAAGCTGCTTGAACTGGGAATGGTGGCTCACACCTAAAATCCTAGTGGCTACTCCCTAGGCTGAGGCAGGAGGGTGGCAAGTTTAAGGTAAATCTGGGTAACTTAGTGAGACCCTGTTTCAGAGTAACTTAGAAAAGAGCTGGGGACGTAGCTCAGAATTCCCTCTATTTAGCCCCCAATACCCCCCCACACCCCTTGTGGTGATGTTCAGATATAAATTTGAACTAATAATTTTTTTTTCAAACTACAGTTTTTTGGTTTTTTGAAATAGTGTCTCACTGTGTATTTCAGGGCAGGCCTGAACTCACTGTGCAGCCCAGGCTGGCTTCAGATTGCCAGCATCCTCCTGCCTCCACCTCCTGAGGGCCAGGATTATAGCATGTGCCATCATGCTTCACTAAAATTAAACTCTTATTCCCCAGGCTCTGGGAATCAGAAAGGAAGGGGCTGGTGATGCCTATCTGGCACTGGCCACTTGCCTGATAGACAGGTCCTTATGACCTTAGTTTTCACAGATCAGAAAAAGAATCCTCTGGAACCCAGCACAGCATCCTCCTGTGCCCTGTTCTTCCTTCTCCCTCTGCAGGTCCACATGAAGGACGTCATGTCAGCACTGTGGGTCTCAGGGCTGGACTCTAGTTACTTGCGAGAACAGATGCTGAATGAACCATTGGTACGAGAAATTGTCAAAGAGTGCAGCAATATACCGCTCAGCCAGCCGCAGCAGGGAGAGGCCATGCTGGCGAGCTTCAAGCCACGGGGCTACTCCGAGTGCATCGTGACTGTCGGTGGGGAGGAGAGAGTGTAAGTGCTGGACGGAGCCCTGGAAAGCCATGTGGGAAACAGCCTGTTGATAGTTTCCCTGTCAACAGGAGTTCAGAATGTTTTCACCATCTAAACCATAATGGCAGTCAACTTTCTGTAATGTCTTACGCATTATCTAGCACACTGAAACTGCTAATGTCTGTTGTAAACAGAATCTTAAACACGAACCGCTGATCAGTGATTTCTCTCTTAGTTCACGGAAACCCACAGCAGTGATGCGATGCATGTGCCCTCTCTACGACCCCAATCGGCAGCTTTGGATTGAGCTCGCTCCTCTGAGCATGCCGAGAATTAACCACGGTGTTCTCTCAGCAGGTACTGTGCATTCTAATTTCAGTTGAACACAAGGCCAAGGGATATGTAGCTGTGAGTTCCTGTGGGAGACTCAGAACCCTTTAAAGATAAAACTTGATTGTGTGTGTGGGCCCAGCTTTCAGGAGAGTGGTTGGAAAAGAGCCCTTTTGGTCCCGTCTAGCGTCCCACCACAGTCCTGATGAACGTAATCACTGTGCATTACGAGTGGGTATTCATGAAAGCTTTAAAAATTAAAAACCTCAGAAGTGGGGACAGAGCAGGAGCCAGATAGAGTGGGTGCATACTATCGTCTCTGCACTCTGGGAGGCTGAGGCAGGACAACTGCAAGTTCAAGCCCTACCTGAACAACCTAGTGACTCAGCAAGACCCTGCCTCAAAATAAAAAAAGGACTGGGGGTGTAACTCAGTGCAGAGGCCTCAGATTCAGTTCCCACTACCAGGAAAAAAAAATGGTAAAGCTACATTATTTTAGAGAAATGGAATCATTTTATGAATCTCAGAATAATTGGAATTACTCTCAAAAGTAAGTTGTTGGATAGAACAGTGCAGCCAACATGAGGAGACTCCGTTTTCCTACTGTAATTTCCCAGAATTAGCTTCCTTATGTTTCCTGCTGTCATTTGTATGCAGTCCCGTAATTTTCACTCATGTCTATCTCAGTCACTAATTTTTGAAGAATTTCTGGTCGGGTTGGTATTTTAGAAACTAAATAGTGAGGAGAGGGTTGTGTACAGCTGTATTGACTAACACTGAAATGATCGAACAGTTCCTCTTTCCTTAGTCTACTGTCTTTCTTTTCATGCCTTTTATAAAAATTTATTTTGATTTTTTTTAATCATTTGATTTTTTCCTTCTAGTTTGGAAGTTATAGTCTCATTTACATTACTTTGGGAAAGTTGCCTTAGAAATTATAGCCTGTCTCAAGTTATTAAAGTGTAAAGTTAATCAGTACAATCATTCTTCTAGGTAGTGTTCATTTTTCATGTTCCACAGTCTTATGGTGTTAAAATGCATGAAGATTAGGGCCGGGGATGTAGCTTGCAGCACAGTGCCTGCCTGGCAAGCCCATGGCCCTGAGTTTCATTTCTAGTGCCAAACAAGACAGCGCGTGAGTTAACTGATGTGTACATGGTGTATGCATTGGTGACGCGTGCGTTTGTCTGAAAGGTTGGAGAGACATACAGTGCTCCTTTGGATTTGCCATTTTCTTGTTTTTCCTTTTCTTTACCCCCAGAATTTCCACATAGGATCATTTCCTTTTTTCTGAAATACGTTGTTTTGATGGAAAATTCTCAAATTTGTCTGTAAGCCTCATTACTTTTGTCTTTCATTTTTTAAAGGATGGTTTTGCTGGGTATAGAATTTAGGTTATTTCTTTTCAGTACATTTAAAAATGTCTTTCCACTCATTTAAGCCAGTTGTCAATCTAAAAAATCTTTCTTTTCTCTGGGCTATATTTAAGATTTTCTTTCTTTTTCCCTCTACCATTTCATTACAATGTGTATATTTTATTTAAACTTGTATCATATTTGAGTGTTTTTGGCTCTTTGGCTCTACTGAGCTTGGGTTTTAGTCCATTCTGGATCATTGCTATCCATTGTGTCTTCACACATTGCCTCTGCTGCATTATTCTCACTCCTCCTGCTCCTAAAAATCACATCACACACTGCCAGACCTTGTTCTCCATCCTCCACTTCCCCCATCTTTGTGTCACTTGCCTTCTTTTTGTTGCTGCATGCTGCCTTAATGATTGTTTTTTTTTATTTTTCCTCAGTGAATTTTCTCTTTAATTTGGATGCCTCTCCTATTAATCCAGTCAATTGAATATTTATTTCTAGTCTTCTTGAATCTTTTTCAAAAACCAGATGTTTTTTCCTGAGTTATCTTCAAGTTTTCTGTTATCTTGAAGTATAATGAGCATTGTAGTTTTAGTTATTTGCACCAATATTTAGTGAATTAAACTCTTAGAATGTGAAGACTCAACATTTGGGTGACAGAACTTACTTATACAGAAGTTTTGTACTTGTTTCTGCAAACTGCCTGAAAACACTGCTAATTGGTATCACTGTAACTCAGACTCAAGGATTGAGATTTCCTAGACAAGGAAGAGCTTTACGTCAGTGAGCATTGATTTGAGCTGGCCCGTATCGTAAGACAGAACTTGGGGGCAGGTTTCCTGCCAGAAGCCCCATCTTCTAAGAACCTATGGCTTAAATTTCTTTTTCATCCCTGGGACAAAAGATAAAAACTTGCCCATAGTGGCAGATAACTGCCAGGCAGATTGGTTGCCCTGCTTGGTAACCTCTCTATAGAGGTTCCACTTTTCCTTTCAGTTTTTCCTTATTGTCCTGTTGATTTCTTCTCTTCTAAATATTAAAAGAAAAGTTTACCCAGCAAGTTAGTAGGTGTTTTATAGAATAGCCACTTGCTGTTTTGTTAAATAGGAAGTCAACTCACGGGTTATGTTTTAAATTAAAGTGCACACAGGTGCCAAGCTCCAAGCATTCCAGGTCGGGGCCGGGGAGATGGCTCAGTGGAATAAGTGCTTCCCTGGCAAGCGCAATGGCCTGAGTTCAATCCCTGTTCCACCAAAAAAAAAAAAAAAAAAAAAAGTATTCCAGGTCTTAGGGACAGATATGGGCTTTGGGTCAAAAGTCACTTGAGACTTGCAGAGCTGGGGCTGGAACAGATGAATTGGGAGGTCCTGCAGCTGCCTAGTGACAGAAAGGGTCATGTCTCTTTTTTCCATCATGCTGTAGAGATGCAGATTGCCCCCACAGACCTGCTGAGTAAAGCAGAGTGGCCAGTGACTCATAGATTTGACTGTGTCATGAAGGAGCAAGTGAAGTGTGACAGAGGTCCCGAGTCCAAAGAGAAAACTGTGATGGGAGGAGGTTCTGCAGACACCACATTTGCTGTGCTGCTCCCGGGCTGAACGCTTGGTTGCAAGTGTGTCTCTTCTTTTTTTTTTTACAGAAGGATTTTTGTTTGTATTCGGGGGCCAAGATGAAAATAAGCAGACCCTGAGCTCTGGAGAGAAATATGATCCAGATGCAAATACATGGACTGCATTGCCGCCCATGCATGAGGTAAAGCCTGTTTGTTTCTCTGTTTCATTGACGCTTGTCTTGTGGTACTCTGGTTTCTTAGGTGTTGCGAAGGGGTGGTGATCGGCCCAGCTCCTCTGGCACCCTCAGGCGTGCTGACTCCTTCCGGCCACCCTGCAGGGTCTTATACCAGTGCTCCCACTTGCACTTCCCTCCTTGCATTTGTTCTTTCCTGTCTGGAAACAAGGGCCTCAGATACCTGCCCAGGGCGCCTCCACCTGCCTCTGCTCTCCTGCCTGACCCTTGCACACTGGTTTGTACAGGTGTTCATGGAGGCTCTTGCAGTAGGGATTTCATTTTTCTCACCTTGTACATGGTGCACTAAGTGAGTAGTCGTTGCTCGATGAATGCTAAAGACCTCAGGCTTTTGTGGTTCCTGGCTTCCCTGGCCATAGACAGTCTGCCCTGCTGGGGTCTTCTCTTATCTTCCCAGTGTGGGCTCAGAAGCCTTGTTGACCCCATTGCTATATGAAAACAGCTCCATCGAATCACTTACCTAAGGTGATGCTTTGCTTTCTGGTGGACTAGAGTGGTTAACAAGTAGTGATCCCACTGATAACGTTCGATATGGGTCTTATTCCCTTGGGCCACTATCTGTTGAGCCGGAAGTTCAAGCTGCTGGGAATATAAGAAAGAGCATCACAAGGAGAATTGGTTCTCTGCTGGAACCCTGGAATAAAATGATACCTGTAATATCAAAAATGCAAATAAGCTGGATATGGTGGCTCTCACCTGTAAGCCCAGCACTTGGGAGGCTAACATAGGAGGATCATTGTGAGTTTGAGACCAGCCTGGGCTACAAAATGAGCTCAAGGCCAGTCTGAACTGTATAATGAGACCCTGTCTCAAAAAAAAAAAAAAAAAAAAAAAAACCATATCAGCTGTTGAGTACAGAGAACTTTGATGTCTTTTCAGGCAAGACACAACTTTGGAATTGTGGAAATAGACGGCATGCTGTACGTTTTAGGAGGGGAAGATGGGGACAAAGAGCTGATATCCATGGAATGTTACGATATTTATTCTAAAACCTGGACCAAGCAGCCTGATTTGACCATGGTTAGAAAGGTGAGAACTACAGCTTCCTGTGGCCACTTTGTTTACAAATTCGATTTTAAAGTTAACATTTCTTCATTTCTTAAATACACCTTTGACACAACAGAAAGTATGAAGAGAATTAGCGCGATAGGATCCTGTCTTTATCAGCAGCTTGCCTTTGCTGTCAACAGCCACATGCCGGGACTGGAGCAAGTGTGTGAGCGCCAACCCTGCTGGGTACAGCGCACTCAGTCAGTGCTGTGGGAATGCTCAGAACCAAAGCCAGCAGAGCTCCCGCCTGCCTCTGGGGCGCAGTCTGCAGGGCTTAGAGCACAACCTGTGTGCATTATGCCCCCTATTAGAGCAGGCAGGAAGTTAGACCTCAGGACAGAGCTAGGTCGTGTCCTAGGCACTGGCGCCTTCTCCTGTGAACCCCTATATGTTCCCTTTCAGTGACATTATTGCAACAGTTTGAGTGATTTACTCTGGAATCTCAGTCTTGGGATCTTCAAATAATGGTCAAAGAACAGAGAGCGGAAAGCTTTCCCTTTCTTCAATTTTTCTTTTTCTTTCAATGCTGGGGATTCACCCAGAGCTTTGCTTGTGTTAGACAAGCACTTGATCGTGCCCATGCCCTAGAAACTCTTTTAGAAAGTTCAGCCTTTACCCACCTGCCTTGCTTACAATGGAGACAGAGCCCCTTCTTTGTCCAATCATGTTGGCAGGCATGGCAACTTGACTATTAGAAATCTGCTCCCGTCCAGGGGGCTGAGGGAGTGGGAGGCCTATGCCTACAGACAGACTCCTTTCCCGGGTATCTCCACATGCTCCCCAACAAGCACACTTGTCTAGCTTTAATAATTGGTGTGTCACCCCCATGTTTTCTCCTTGCAGATTGGCTGCTATGCAGCTATGAAAAAGAAAATCTATGCCATGGGTGGAGGATCCTATGGAAAATTGTTTGAATCTGTGGAGTGTTATGACCCCCGGACCCAGCAGTGGACTGCTATCTGTCCCCTGAAGGAGAGGAGGTGAGGGGACACAGCAGTAAACTGGGACTCCCCTTCTGTAGCTGAGTCAGAGGCCTCCTGCCCTGGCTTTTTGCTCCCTGTTTCAATGTGACTACTTACATGGCCTGATGTTTCCTACACTAGAAAGGCCCACATGCATGTGAAGCCCTGCATGCTGTGTTAAAGCAGGCATGGGGGGATTGAGAAGTCAGACCTTGAGCAATAAGCCCACCCTACTGTGCTGCGTGATTTTTCAGGTTCGGCGCCGTGGCCTGTGGGGTCGCCATGGAGCTGTATGTGTTTGGGGGTGTCCGAAGTCGGGAGGACATCCAGGTTAACGAAATGGTCACCTGCAAGTCTGAATTCTACCATGATGAGTTTAAAAGGTAATTACGAGAGGTGTGTGGCTTCTGAAACTTTTCCTTATGCTTCAGGGTCATAGTTTAGCTATGGTTAGTTTTGATTTCAAATTCCTGTGTTGAACTCTAGCAGTTACGTCCTTGCGTATTAGGTATTTAGGCAGTGACTTCAGAGATATTGACAACAAAAACTATGAGAACATGTCTCTGAAACGTAGAACAGATGTTAACAGTTAATTGCTTAAAATGGTTGGCTTCATTTAGCTTTTAGGAGAAAGCTTAGACTCCTTAATTTAGCATGTATGGCCTTTTGTGACTGGACCTTCTTGTACTTTTTCTGCTACTTCCCAGCCAGCCCAGATGCTTCACGCTGCGACGTTTCCCATCTCTCCCTTCCAGATATGTGTGATCACTCAGCTGTTTGTGGGCTGTTGCTTTTGCCAAAAATTCCCTTTGCTCCTGTTCATCCAGTGAGTTTGGCCTTGTCCAAAACTCTGTTTATCACTCCCTGGAGAAAGCCTTTGCCTGCCTCCCTGGTCCACACTGTAAAATTGTTTACATGTCCCTCTGGGTTGAGAGTGTTAACTGCACGCACCTTCCGGGCAGGCTGCCCGCGCTCAGCTATGTCCCGGGCCCAGGACCAGGCCTAGTTCATGTCTTGACAGTCTGCTCCGCTGAGTGAGCAAAGGTTGGTGCTTGACTTCTTGTCTGACAAGCTGCCTGTGTAGTATAGGGTAGATAGCAGCCTTCCCGACTCCTCCTGTTCCCTCCCTTAGCACCTTCCATTGGTCTGCAGAGCCCTGAGCAGATGCTCTGCCAGAATCGTGGTGGGTAATTCCCCCTGCTACCTGAAGGGAGCGCCATAACATAGTGTTTACTTGCCTAGCATCATGTTTAGATTAGAGCAGTGAACAGTTACCAAAACATGAGAAATACATATATGTAAATGTCCCTTGAATTTTAGTGTATTTCAAACTTGGGATATTTGCATAGCCTTTTTTTCTAGGTATAGAGGTAGGCTATCTTAGGAAAATGTCTTAGAGTAGGAGAGTAATTTAGAAGATCATGTGTTCTTGTAGGTAGGAGTGGGCGGGGGTTTTCCAGACTGACTGTGTCCTCCTTCTGCGCTGAGTTGCTCTGGGGCTTGACTACCCTGCTGGTGAGTCAGTCTGGTGCTGCCCAAGGGAGTGTCGAGACAGGCTGTCCCCCGCCGCTAACACGCAGCCCGTTTGGTTCTAGTAAAATATTTATGTAAAGCTCTTTCCTGGTGACTGCATTGCTGCTCACACAGTGTGAGCCCCAACCCGCTTGTCAGGAAACTTGGGCTTACTTATGTTCTTGCCACTTTCTGTCCCTGTTCTCATTCTGGAGGATTTACGTCTGGCTGTGACACCAATATGCTCTCTGTTGTCAGAACCGTTATATTTTTGTCAGTCTGGTTCATGTTTTTAGTCGACAAACTTGAAGTGTAACTGTTACAATGACTTGCTTCCAATTCATCATTATTAAACATAAGAGCACTGCTCCTTCCAAACAGCCTCATACGCCGTCAGTGGCCTCATTTCTAGACTTTCCAGTGTTAGTTTATAAGTGCAGTGGAGAACGCTGAGGTCTTTCAATGTACATGCAGGACTCTCGTGTGATTAGAGGACTCTGAACACATAGGGACACCACAGCCATGAACACAGCCCCTCCGCTCAGGCTTACACAGCCCTCCGAGGTACAGATACTCTACTTAGTCCTCGTCCACAGGGGGAGCCAAAACCCAGAGAAGTGGGCAGGGTCACAGCTGGTGTTCAGACCCAGGCATCGCCCCAACACCCTCTTGTCCTCACCCGACTGGCTTTAAGCGCGCAGGGCTTCCTATAAACACCTCCAGCAAGAAGCAGCTACAGGAGTAGCTTGTCTTGAAAAGATCGGACGATCCCTGATGTGCTCTCTGTGCGTATTATGGAAACTACTGCCAGATGAGCAATCTAGGTTAGATTAGAGACCATTTAGGTTGTTTTTAAGTAATCTTTTGTCTTTCCTGTCTTTGTTCCCTATTTTTAGGTTAAAACTTTCCTGGAAAGGTGCCATATCTTATTATTTTCTGTGTTTATGAGTAAAAGCAAAACTGTTAGAAGGAAAGCAAAGAATTCCCCATAAATTATTGGCTGGGCCATGGCAACCACACCTACCCAGGGCTGGGTTTTCTCTGTTCCTCTGTCCCTGTCCTGCTGGTGACACCACTGTCCTCCCAGCTCCTCCTCACTCCTCTCTTCTGCCCAGGTCAGCAGTTACCGACATCTTATCTGTCTGACACTCACTGTATAACGCATGCTTGGGGCCATCCTCAGAGGAGCCCTCAGAGCCCGCTGCCCACCTGTGCTCCTGAAAGACAACTTGGTCATCTTGTTCTCCTGTGCAGCCATCTTCACTGATTCCTGCTGTTACCAAGTCCTGGTGACTGCTCGGCTCCCCTCTCCCCTACTCAGCATGCTCTGAGTCTGTGGTGGAAAAACTGCCAGGCTTTTTCAACATCTTCCTGCCAGGGTCCTGTGTTCCAGTCCTGAGGTTTGCTGCCTCTGTGTGCACTCATCCTCAATGACCCCACTGTCAGTTCTGTGTCAGTCACTTTAACTCTTTATGTTGCAATCTATCCACTTCATTTTTTGGACAATTGGCAGAAACCTGTGTTGGTTCTTTGGCTGGGAGTGGGACCATTCCAGCAGGAAGGGCCTGCTGGAACCCTGGAATTAGCCTTCCCTACCAAGAATAAAAGCCCTGGGGTGGCTGGTAGAAATGACATCCCCATCAAAGACAAAGGGGCCAATGTGGTGGCACCTGTTACATGCCTAGTAATTCTTCTCGAAAAAGTCAAGATGTCCAATGGCTCCTGACTGTGCACTCTCAAAAGCCAGCCGGGGGATCCCAGGGTCAGATTGTGCCCTGGGTGCAGGGTCATCACACCAAGCTTGTATCAGTGCCAGGTGGCCCCTGGCCTGGCTGCACAGCCATGACCATGACCCAGGTAGTGTTTTCTCTTGGTGTGTGAGAATCCCTGAAGCAGTGTGCTTCTCCTGGCAGGACCGGAGTTAACCTGCAAGTGTTGTCCTGGGGCTGAGGCAGGCCACTTCTTCTGGGCAGCAGCCCCCTTGTTGCATCCACTGCTCTCTCTGCCGAGGAGGCAGTACTACTGCTTGTGATGTCTTTGGCGTCACATGAGCCAGAGGATGCCCACCACATCAGCTCCCTCAGGGTCCCACCAGAAGACTGAAGCCAAACCAGTAATGGAATGGAAAACGCAGCAATGTGTTGTTAACTGGAAGCGGCCACAGCGGACTCTAAAGAATGTAGAACTACAGCCAGGGTGCAGCTCAGCGGTAGGACACACTGTTAGTATCCGCAAGGCTCTGGGTTCAGTCTAACACAAAAAAGAAAAAACAGAAGTAGCTAATGGAAGAGGCCTGGCTACCACTTTTGGGCTGAGGGAAAGCACTCAAGGGAGAAGAAATGGGAAAATCCTCCCCACCCACAAAGCTGAGGACCCCTAGGAGGACAAGCACACGGACAGTGCTGGGCACCAGGCCTCAGCTTCCCGCGCTGGATCCCTGTGCGCTGAGATCCAGTGGGGGGTGTGGCTCCTGGGTTTGCTGGCCATCAGTACCTGGTGATGGCACTTGTCCTCACACCTTGTGCCCTCCGCCTCCAGCCCGTTTACTGTCCACCCCTGGACTAGGTAGGTCCTTCTTCCCTGCTTGGCACACAGAGGCGGTACAGTGTTTCAGTTTCCTTATCATGCGGATGGAAATGCTTTGTCTCTGTTCCCTTTGTCAGATCAGACCAGTCGCAGATCTGTCCTCAGGTTGGCTGCTGCTTTCCTCAGTTATCTCCAGGCTATTGTTAGGACCACCCAGGACATTTTTTATTTCAAGTATTCTCTTTTTGACTCTTAAAATCTCAGGGCTGGGGCTGGGGAGATGGCTCAGTGGAGTAAGTGCTTCCCTGACAAGTGCAAGGGCCTGAGTTCCATCCCTGGTTCCGCTAAAAATAAATAAATAAATCAAATCGAATTGAATCTCAGGGCCACTTATCATTAGGGCTTCTGATTGTTATTACTTCTGCGCCAGAGGTGCTGTCATTGGTGGGGAGCCCGTCCCTTGCCTCACTGAGCAAGGTCGTCTCTGTAGCTATGTCCCACTCTGCCTGAGAGGTAATCCCAGCATCTGAGTCATCTCAGAGTTGGCGTGCGATGATTGTTCATTCCCTGGAGATGGGTTCATTTTTCTGGCTCTTCTTTTGTTAAGGAAGTCTGGATTGCATCCTTAACATCGTTAGTACTATGTTCCTGAGACCCTAGTCTTTGTTCTATCTTTTAGAGTGTGGTGCCAAGACTTGTAGGCCGTCACCTGGATCAGACCCAAAAACAGGCTGCCGTCCTGCAGGGGTAGCTCTGGTCTCACTGTGTTTATTCAAGCCTTAGCGCAGGCATCTGTAGTTTCCAGATCAAAGATTTCCACCAGGGGCTTCCTCTTCTTCTCTGGGTTCTCTGCTCAGCCCTTGAGAACCATGCTTGTCCCAAGACCTATGTGCTGACTCCTGACTCCTGTGGGCACAGGTGCACAGGGTACTGCGCAGAGCCACCACCCTCAGACTGCCTTCACAGAAGGCCACTGAGAGCCAGGCCACTCCTTGGGGGAGTCTGCTCAGCTTTTAGTTTCCTTCCAGACTGCCTGCTGCTGTCTGGTGTCTGGGGCGCTCCCGGGGCTGTTCTGTCTATGGTCCTCAGCCCCCAGTTGGCACTTGCGCAGTGCTGTGCTGGGAAGCAGACCCCTCTCCAGAGCGTACTTGTCCTTCCCTCCCCTCTCCCCTCTGATTGAGAGCTTCCTCTGTCTCCCCTCTGGAGCTCTCGCCTCCCCGTGCCTGTCCTCTGCTGCCTCTCTGCAGCTCTCTGCCATGTCCATTCTGTATTTTGATATTCCATTCTGGGGAGGGAGTCAGTCTTGCTTCTGAGTTGTCAAGGGGCACAGTAGTGGCAGGTGCTGCCAAGCCCACATTTGAAGGCCTTGCACCTGAGGGCCTGGTTCTGCCTCTGCATTACAGTTGCCGTCACTCAGTGATGCCCAGGCCTGGGCATGGTGCAGAGTCCTCACCTCACCTCTGCAGCATTCCCTGGGGGCTGGTGACTGTGTTGGGCAGTCTCACCTCCAGAGCAGAAAATGGAGCCTAGCATAGGGCAGTCATCCAGGGCCAGTGAGGTGCTAAAGAACACTCAAGATTGCAGCTTTTATGCCTATTTTGTAAGCAGCAGCTAGACACACGATCCAGTTACTTTTGGGGTTAGTTCTGTTTCACTTGAAGCTTCAGCATCACATACACCGAGTTACCTCAGCTTATTTTCTTTTAAACCAGGAACTCTGACTCACTGACCCACATCAGGTCATCTAACCCAGTTTCTTGAGTTTCATGTTGTTACCCGGAGATGCATTATGCTAAGTCCTAAACAGGTTGATTCTGAAACAACACTGGTAGCAGGTGTCTTGCTCTGAAGTGCTGCTCACTGCTGTGAGCTGCATCCTGGGGCTCAGGTCCAGCTGTGGACGAGGCTCAGGGATGCTTCCAGCCTTCTTTGACTCAGAACCCAGGACCTCAATGGGTTAGTGGCTTATGCTCAGCCCCTACTGTGTGAAGTGTGAGTGAGCTAGTACTGACTGACATTTTCCAGACTTCCTTTTTCAAAATCTTGTTGATGATCTCCATTTTTATTTTGCAGTGAGGGCTCTTAGTTTTTTTCCATTTTCCTTTTTATTGGAGGCATTTGGGGAGCAAAGGTTAAAATTCATAGTTGTGACCCTAACCACATGTTGCATCTGATCAGCAGTCAGATGGTCAGTGAGTCAAATGTTAAGACAATGTATTTAGAAATGTGGCAGCCTGGCATCATTTGCTATTTGGGGCAGTCATTTAGTTTTTATTTTTAGGGGGAGGCAATCATGTCATTTCCTTGTCTCTTGGAAATCAGAATATGGAAGCTACTTCAGAATAATCTGGGAAGGGTAGTCACCGAAATAAAAGTGTGTTCTTTACAAAATAATTTTGTACTGGTATTTGAAATAGAAGTGCTCGAAGCATAAGGTGCACCCATGTACTCAGGTGTGCCAGTGACAGGGCAGCCCTGGGTCCATGTGCCCCTGATTGCCAACGTCTGCCATGACCTATCACTTCTAACAGAAAAGTGCTCAGTCACATTGCCCTGAGTGAACATCAAAATCTAGATTTAGGGGCCGGGGAGATGGCTCAGTGGAATAAGTGATTCCCTGACAAGCGCAAGGGCCTGAGTTCAATCCCCAGTTCCGCAAAAAAAAAAAAAAAAAAAAAATCTAGATTTATTCCCCTATAGTACCCGGGGGGTGGGGCAGGCTTTTATTTTAGAATAATTTTTATTTGTAGAAAAGTTGCATAGGTGGTGTAGCAGTTCCCATAAGCTACTCGCTCAGTTTCTCCTAAGGTTAGTATCTTCCACGACTGGGACACAGATGTCAGGACTGGGGTTTTTGCACTGCATGGAGTTAACTAGATGGGACACTAGACGCTCACCACAAGCATCTTCCTCTGCTCCAGATCCATCTATGACCCACCATTGCATTCAGTTGCTGTCACTGGTCATGTTTTTTCCTAGAAAGTCTGTCATTTGGGTTTATCTCATAATCCTGGGGTTAGGCTGGCATATTGGTGCTGGCGATGTGTCTCGGCCACACCAGGGAGCCATCGACAGCCTTGTCCCTGTCCTGTCAGGGAGAACATGTCACCAGGCTTTCCTGCTGGGCACTATAACCTTGATCGCTTGGTTAAGGTGGTATCTGTTGGCTTTCTTCACTGGAAAGTTAGTGTTTTTCTCATTATAATTAATGAATGTCTTGGAGCATATAATAGGAACATATGAAAAGCTGCTATTTCTCCTGAAACTTTCACCCTCTAATTTTAGTGTCCTTTGGTAGATATAAGCTGCAGTCACTATGCTGTGGGTTTTGCCTGTGATTTTTTTGTTTCCCTCGCTCTACATTTATTAATTGGAATTCTTCTGCAAAAGAACCCTGTCCCTTCTCTCTAGTAATTTTTTTTTCCATTAGTAGTGACTCATGAATTTGTCTTATTCTGTGAATTATGAATTCAGGCCTGTCATTTCTTTCCTCGCTCTACTGTCCCAGTACTGGCCTCAGGAACTCGTTCTCTCGGCTCCTGCAGTGGGGTGATGAGCCTCTCATCCCTTAGAGCTCTTCCTGCCTGGCATTGCGTGGTGCTCCAGGCTTATCTTATACCTTCTCTACCTCAGCTCTGAAATCAGCCATTTCTTCCTGGAGCTTTGGGTCCTCTTAGTGCTTACTAAATCGATTTTCAACAGAGACTCCAAGGCAGTATACTGGGAAAGAAAGTCCTCCACAAACAGTGATGAAACAGCCAGCTCTGTGTGGAAAATAGTGAGCTTTGACTCCTGCCTGTATACAAACTCACTTGAGATGGATCACAGACCTAAATGTAGAAGCTGAAACCGTAAAATGTCTGAGTGGCACAGGAATAAAATCTTTGCAAGCTTAGGGGCAGGAGAGATTGTTTAGGATGCAGAAAGCATAACCCTAAAAGAAGAAAAGGGTCCATTGGAAGATTCCATTAAGAAAATGAAAAGGCAGCCTATATTTTGGGGGGAGTATTCCCGTGTACACATGTAGGAAAGGATTTATGTTCACAAAATGCAAAGACTCCTGAGCAGACATTTCCGGAGATCGAGAGTGGACGATAACTGCCTACCAGGTGATCCACTCAGTCTTGATTTTTTGTTTTTTTGTCCTTTTGAGATAGGGGCTCACTGTGCAGCTCAAGCAGGCCTGGCACTCACTCGAACTCGAAGCAGTCCCCCTGCCTCCTGTAATCCCTGGGATTACAGATGTGAGCCCCCATGCCTGACTGGTTTTTGTTTGTTATGTATTTAGTACAGGGTCTAAAGTGTCTCACCACATAGATCGGACTCATAGTGATTCTCCTGTTTACAGCCTCCCAAGTGCTGGGATTACAGGCACGTGCCACCACGCCCAGTCTCAATCTTCTCAGCGCGCCCTGGGGGCAGGGCCAGCACTGGCACAGCAGGCCTGGGGATGGAACTCTCGGCCCCTGTGCCTGCTTGCAGGCGCTGTAATCTGCTAAACTATCTGGCCAGCCCTCATCACCATTAGCCTTTAGGGAAAGGTGCGCCATTAAAAGCTAATTTTTTTTTTATTTTATTTATGTGTGTGTGTGTGTGTGTGTGTGTGTGTGTGTGTGTTTGGCCAGCTCAGCCCACCAGGGGGCCAGGCGGGCTGTCATGTAGTGCTGGGGGATTGAACCACGGTCCCCATGCTTTGCCAAGCTTGTTCTAAGTAGGTGCTTTAGACCACTGAGCCATCTCACCAGCCCAAAAGCTAAAATTTTGAAAGACAATACAGAGAGATTATAATAATACCAAGCAGTTAGAATGCAAAAGAGCACTGGAAAGAATAGAGCATCTTTTTCACTGCCTCACATAGAGCCTTTCCCCAGAACCCAGAATCTGTGAGCAAAGTCCACAGAGACCTGCACCCCAGTGTCCACAACAGCTTTATTCCCAAGTAACCAAGCACTGGCAGCCACCTAATGGGCCTGAATTCGGCCTCTGCTCAGAGATGAGAGGTGCAGGTGGCTGGTACAAGCAGGGCGCGGGCCGGGTGAGTCTCAAAAAACGGGCTTAGCAGAAGGTCGGGCAGTTCTCCCGCCTCACCACAAACTGTTCCTGAACCTCAGGCACAGGCGGGGTTACTGCAGTGGCTTCCGGGGGAGTGAGCATGGGGCGGAGACTGGCTCTGCGCCTGCGCCTGACCTTGGCGCCCTGTCGCCCTGTCGTTCTTCTGAATACTGTGCTCAAGCTTTCCAGTTCCTTAACTTGGTCTCGGCTTTCTTTTCAGGTGGATCTACCTTAATGACCAGAACCTATGCATCCCTGCCAGCTCCTCCTTTGTTTATGGGGCTGTACCTATAGGAGCCAGTATTTATGTTATTGGAGACCTCGATACAGGTAAGGGTGTTGCGGTGGTGTTCTTGGAACGCTGCCGGGAATCTGGCTGCTCGCCTCACTTTTGCCTGCTTTGGTGGTTTAGGTACTAACTACGACTACGTGCGAGAGTTTAAAAGAAGCACGGGCACCTGGCACCACACAAAGCCGCTGCTGCCCTCCGACCTGCGCCGCACTGGCTGTGCAGCTTTACGCATTGCAAACTGCAAGCTCTTCCGCCTGCAGCTTCAGCAAGGCTTATTCCGAATTCGCGTCCATTCACCCTGAAGAGGAAGCAGAGCAGGTCGTGCGACCCTGTGCTGAGTGCGCCATCGTGTAGCTGGATGTAACGGAGATCCGAGGTGCAGCTGAAACTTGCTGTGTGTGCCGGGCTTTGGGATGGTAACTGCAGCGGTCTTAGACGCTTAGAAGCTTGAGCATATGCTCTGGTTGGGAGACCATGTAACTTCAGACACTACCTGGAAGGAAGTAGGTCCACAGGTTAGCTGTGTCCATAGACCGTGGGGATAAAGGGATCCAGAGGAGGAGGGATGGGAGTGGGTATGATGTCTGGTAGCAAAGCTAAGCCCTACAGTTTACTTTCCCTGAAGGGAACTCATGTTTGACTGCTGTGTTCCAGGTATGTGGCTTTGGAAAAAAACAAAACCGACAACCCATATATGCAAATCAACATATCCAAACATACCAAGATTGCTTTTCTACTACACTTGGAAGGATTTATTATGCCTAACCCTACCCAGTGAAGTGAAATCTGTGCCTAAAATGCTAGATTGGACTCTATGCCAGTTAGTCTCTATTACTAGTGCTCTGTCCTAAGAATTTTAAAAAACTATTACGATGAATTGACACAAAGATAAAATGTCTCTTTTATAGAGTTGTCTTAACAGTGTAAACTGGTGAGTCAGGCCGCAGCCCTCCTGTGAACGTAAAGGAACTTGCTACCCTCTCTGTTACTTTACATGAAGATATGTCATGCCATAATTTCTGGGGTGGTCCGTGTGGAGCTGCGAAGGTTCAGGCAGTGCCACTCTTTATAAGAATGAGGATATTAGTGGGTAGGAGATTTTTAAAGGAAAGACCTGAGTTAGACAGGTAATAAATAGTCTGCTATGACTCTAAAAAGGAAAAAAAAAAAAGAAACCTGTCAGGTTGAAATGCATAGGGATCAAACTTTTTTTAATATAATCTGAAAGCACACAAAGTCTCGTTTACTACTGTCTAGGATTTGAAAACTTGTTTTAGAATCCGAATCTGTGTTACAAAAGCTAGTCTGTGTAATAGAACGTTCCTGATGCCATTCACTGGTATGTTTTAGACAAATTATGAATAATGTTTGGCTGGTAGAATAAACTACCTCAACTTAATTTCATTCTGTTCTTAGTAGAGCAATTTCCTCTTTCCTCTTTTCCTCCTTGCTTGTCACTCACTCCTACCCCCTTCCCGAGAAGGGAGAGAATTCTGTCATTGTTGAACTTATCTTCACCAAGGCTGAGAAGCGATGGTGAACTTACCTTGTAAGACATTTTGTTTTTCATTCAAATTATACCACCTTGGTGTGAAATCAGGGACTTAAACTGTTTGATTACTTCATAGTTTGAATTTTATGCAATATCAAATTTCTAATCAATGTAATATACAGTACTTCATTTCTAATTGTTTTCTACAGCTTTTTTTCCTCTTACAATATGGCTCTAAGAAGCAACATTTGTCTTACTGATGAATAAATGTATAAATACATCCTTTGGTTGTAAACTTGGGAGACAGAATTTCTCCTAGAAACTCCCCATGTGAAATATTGTGTGCTGTAATCATACGTAGGAAACGTTGCTTATGTTTTCCCACCCATGAGCGTAAAGAGGGCGACCTCAGTGCACTTTTCTGTCTTTCTTACACCTGCTGCGGGGCAGGCGACACTATGCAGGTTGCTGGAAGAGGCCAGGCCTGTGGGGTTCTAAGGAATGTCAGGTGTGGCACCTTAACTGTCCCTGGTGGCCAGAAAGTATTGGTGAGAGAAGGCGTAGTGTTTTACCGTATGTACACAAGGAACTAGCCACATGCACCATGAACTCATGCAGGCCAGTCCAGTGTCACTCCAGGCGACTTTAGGATTGCACCATCGTCAGACGGCTGTTGTCACGCATGTCCCCCACCACCCTTTGGGCCCCTTTTCATCACAGTGCTTCAGAGCACATCAGTTGCTGAAAAAGTGTACTTGCTTTAGTGACTTAACCTGCATGAAAGCAGACACGCGTTCAGAAGCTGCTGCTCGGCCGGCCGCGGCAGTGGTAGCTGCCGGCACAGCTGCGCGAGGAGCAGCCCCGGCTCTTAGTTCCTGCAGCTGAGGCTCCTCCCAGGCCAGGCCTTCCGAGGAGACAGCTCATGATTTAGGAGTGAGTGGGGCCCGTTGCAATACTGGCAGTGCCTGTGTGATTTGATAAATTCACTTTGAAACTGTTTTTAAAATTCAGTTCATTTGCAGTGTAGCTGCAGAAATTAATGTTCTGTAAAATAAATTTGCCTCTGAATATGGGATGCAATTACCAACAAAAGCTGCTAAGTGCCAAACTGCTATTTTATTTTATATAAATATAAAACAATTATGTAGGGCTTTATTTAACTTTATTACGTTCCAAAACTAATCAACTTTTTTATAAATTATACTTATTTCAGTATTGTGAAATAAATTATAACTCATTTTATGCGGGTTTGTGTTTTAACATTCCACTTATGCCTTCGAACATCATTTCTTGATAAAGCTCCTGTCGTCCTTTCTCCATAATTCATTTGACCAAGTGCGTGTTGCATTTGGTGGCTGCGGACAGGTCTGGAAGTCTAGATACAAGTGTGTTTGGGGAAGCGCAGTTGTCTTCCTTCCCACCGTGGAGAGGGCATGTCGCCTGCCTCAGGCTAGCATCGGGGAGCTTAGGGGACTCTCTCAGGCTGCATCTAAAGTGGGGTGGTTTGTTTCTTTAACACATCCAAATGTAGGGGTTTTTTAAGTAATTAATTTAAAATGAACTGTTTTATTTTGAGAGTGCTTATATCCTGTGAGAAATGTGATGGGGTGAGTGAGGTGCATGCATGTGGTGCTGTGTGACTGGGTGCGACTGTGTGTTTACTGTGGAACTATAGTTCCAAACTACATGTATTACTGTCTCCTGGTGCTTCAGATAAACCCTAAGCCTGTTGGCCTGCCGTTCATACCACTGTGTTCAATTCCTTTTTGTAAATATGGAAGTATTGGTAGTGTGCAGTAAGTTTTGCCTGGTGTTTCTCTTCATTAGCAGGATTAAAAACAGCCTTGACCAAGCAGGGGCTGGTGTGCTATAAGAACATAGCCTGGGGATTTTAGCTCCCTGCTCCTCTGCTGTGAGGAGCTGATTGCTCATGTGGGCTTTTTCCAACTGTGCAGCGACTGAGAAGACTGTGGGATGTGCTCTGTTCTGTTGCCTTGCCATTTCACTAGCGGCACTTTCTCTGTTGAGGGTCCTGAAGTGTCTTTTTAGTCTCCCTGGGAAGTATAGGAAATGCATCCTTCGTGGACGTGATAAAGACAGGACTGTAGGAGGGCGCCTCACCAAAGTGAGGCAGGGAGTTCAGTTTCCAGGAAGGTTACGTTTCCTTGCTCCATCAGGACACTGCTCTGTTCCTATGCTGTGTACCAAAGCAGGTACCTGAAAGTGTTCCAAGGAAAGCCAGGAACTCCAGTGTCCCCTCCGTAGTGTCCCCAGTGACACCACCTGGGAAGGGTGAGGGGGGCCAGCTGTGCAGGCCTCGAGATGCTGGGACACCTGGTGGAGGGAAATGGGCAGCTGCTGTTTCTCTGAAGCTGACCCCAAGGAAGCCTGTGACAGCAGACAGGCCTGGCCTGGCCACTGATGTCACTGAGCACCTCCCAAGAGTCACACTGTCCTCCCTCCCTCAGTGGTAAACTTGCCAGGCACTGGACAAGGACCCTATCTGGGTCACTGTTGAGCTAGTGCCTGTGTGTAGTAGGTTGTCAGTATTCAATGAATGATACAGAAGCCTAGTGGTTAAAGTGATGATCTTCACTGAATGGAAGGCAGCTTTGCTGGATTTTAAATGAAGAGCTTCGTACACAAGCGGGCTGACCTTGGGTAGAGTAGGAAGCTAGCATAGAAGAAAAAATACCAAGTGCCTCCTGCATACCACGCACAAGCCTGTGGATGCCTGAGACCTGTGCTCGGCACATCCAAACTCCCAGCATGCCCTATGCAAGTCACACAGGAGCTAGCTGAAGGAGAGAGGATTTTGTTAGTGAGGTGTTGGACTTGTGATGATTCTCGGGGACAGAACCAGAGTCTGTTCTGGAGGAGAAAAGGGGCTGCCCTAGAAAGAGCAAGGTGTCATCTTCCCATGCCACCCCACGTCATCATCAGGGAAAAGACATGGTCTCAGCAAGCTAGGAAAGTGGTTTTGCTGGCTGATGACAACCCCTGCAGCACCCCCCAGCCACTCCTTAGAAATGTAGGCCTTGATAGTATGTGTACCATGCCTCACAGGCCCAGGAAGCTGGGCGGGGTTCTTACGCCGCTGGCCCTCAGGTCTCCATGGTACTAAACTAAAGACTATTTTTTGCGGGTAAAGGTTTTTAACATGTTATATTTTTCAAGAGTAATTCTGTTATTTTAATTTTAAATACCTCTCAGTGTGAGGTATTTGTGAGGTGAGTTGGCTTACGCTTCTGAACTCCTTCATGGGAAGCATACAATGTAGGAACGATTACCCTTTTTGAGCTGTCCCAGGAATTCTCAAAATGATTACATTTTCCACTCTTCTCTCATGAAACCAAGTATCTGATAAATAAAGCTATATGATGTAATTACTTAAGTGAGAAATGTCTACTTTTTATTTTGAGAAAATAACTAATCTTTAAATTGCTGTCCAAGTGGAATTTGTTCTGATGATAAATTCTGATATCACTGTAGCCGCGCAGGGTTGCTGAGCTTTAGAGCCTGTACTGTCATAAGCAGATGTACATTGTGATTCTTGGGATGCTGCGGTTTGGATCAGAGGAGGCCCAGGAGATGGCACTGATGGGCCACAGAATTGGGGGTCACCCAGAGAGGCAAAGGGGGCAGTCAGCCAGGTAAGGGGACCCGTGTGCGGAATGGCCATTTCAGCTGAGACACAACCTGCAGTCCCCGCACCCTGGGAGGCTGAAGCAGGAAGATCGTAAAGCTGAGCCCAGCCCAGGCCACTTAGTGATGGTCTCTCTGAACCTTGTTTCTCAGAGGAGAGATGATGATATTGCTCGTTGCAGGGATCCCAGTTCTGGCCCCAGTACAGCAGAAAGGAATGGCCATTCATTTCAAGGGATTCGAGTCTCAAGTCCCTTTGTGCTTATTGTGTACTTGGTTATGCATCATTTCTACTTAGTTATGTTTACTCCATTGTGTCTGATAAGAGCCCCATTTAGCATTTGGATACAAATAGGGCTTAGGCCCTTGTTTTTATGCACATTCCTCAGGCTGAAGGAGGATGTTCCTTGAAACTTGGGGCCAAATTTTCCCAGTTACACCAGCGACATTGGTCTGAGTGCAACTTCACATGGCTGGCTTTATCATGTTTCCTGTTTGATTGGATGAGAATTACATGCATTTACTCCCCTGTGCTTTGTGTTTATAGGAAAAACTCTGTTCTCAGCTACCTCATTATGTAGTGTTGTGCTTGATCTTCTGCCAATTTAGAAGAATTCAACACATTCTGTCCTTTAACAAAGGCCTGGAAGCAGGCAGTGAGCGGCCTTGAGGAATACAATTCTCTGAGGCGTATTTTCCACTTTACTACTTTTTTTAGAATAGGCACTTTTAATCAGGAGGAACAATAATTCTCCTAGCACTGCTGCAGAATGATTACTTGAAACTCAGCTTGAATTGTAAAGTCCTGAAAGGGCTCTGCTTTCCTATAGCAGGAAAGGAGTCTATTTAAACACCACCGCTGTGTAAAGTAGAGGGCTGGATTTCCATGCTTGTTAGGACCAGGAAGAAAATGCATCTGCCTGCGATTGGACCCCGGCTTTGGAGCTCAGGTGCTGGAGGCCACTGATGTTCCTATCTTATTAGGTGCTCTTGTGTCCCAGGAATCGCCAAGTTTGGTAGGAATGGGGACTCTTTACGAGGTTCTTTGACTGCGCTCCTTCTGATAGCAGAGCCCAGAACATCACAGTGAGGCACTGAGGTGTTTCCCCAGTACCAGTGTGAGCCCAGGCAAGCTGTGTAGAATCACGTTATGCTGATGCGGTGCATGATGGGATCTGTTCCACACACGGGAGGGTGTCTTCCCCACTTCTACCTGTGCCTGTGCCTTCTCCACACCACCTGAGGATGGCTCCTTCTGGTTCCTAAGTCAGGCAGCAGGTGCTGAGGGCTCAGCTCCTATAGGCAACCTCCCCCTTCTTAGTAGTCAAAATAATATCCATGCCTTGAGGCCTCAAATGCTCAGAATAACTTAAGTTCCAGTGAAATCTAAACTTCAGCTGACCTTATTAATTACTAAGACTTAATTTGAGCCCAGCAGGTATGGTAGCACATCCATCTAATCCGAGGGTTCTGGGAGGTTGAGACAGGAGGATCTTAAGTTTGAGCCCAACTTGGGCAGCACCAATTTAGTGAGACCTTATTTCAAAAAAATTTTTAAAGGGCAGGCATGGTGCACACCTGTAGTTCTAGCACTCGGGAGGCTCGGGTAGGAGGAACACCACAAGTTGAAGGCCAGCCTGGGCTACAGAGCAATGCCCTATCTCAAAATTTAAAAAAAAAAAAATTGGGTGTAGCTCAGTGCAAAGTCCGTGTCAATTCTTGGACTGGAGAAAAAGATTGTTTGGTTGTACTTTTGAAAGTGAGAGGGGCTGGAGAGATGGCTCAGTGGTCTAAAGCACCTACTTGAAACAAGCTTGGCAAAGCACAGGGACCGCGGTTCGATCCCCAGCACTACATGCCAGCCAGACCCGCCCCCTGGTGGGCTGAGCTGGCCACACACACACATACAATAAATAAATGTAATAAATAAAAATAAATAAATATTTAAAAAAAAAAAAAAAGAAAGTGAGAGGTTGTTTCTGGGAGAATGCGAAGCTTCTTCTTAGGTGACAGTGGCTAGCCCCTGCCAACACCTGCAGACCCAGGCCCCTCCCTTCAGTGGTGTTGGAGATCCAGGCTATTCCCTCTTTTCCAGCAATGGTGCTGTCTCCCTGGATACTGAACTGCCACTTTCTTGAGCAGACCCAGCAATGTGGGTGCAGGCTCTAGGGTGAGGACACTCGCAGCTCCTCCTCTTACTGTCCCAGTGGTGGGGTGGCCTTCCCCCTCTGGTGTGCGGAGGAACTCCCTTAGACTGTCAGCGGCCAGCGCAGGGCATTGAGCCGCTCACCCTGATTGTCCCTGGCTTTGCAGTCACTTGCATTCCAGGATTGTGTTTCTCTCTGTGTTTATGAAATTATTTACTTCTGGGCCTGTATCCTCCCTCCACATCTCTAGTTATGTTCAGGGTAATTCTCAATACCTGAAACACTCCCAAATACAGTATTGAGGGTCATAATAAGTAGCTCTCTGTTCAGAATTGGCCTGACGAAGCCTCTAATAACACTTAAAATTCTTTTCCACAATTGAATCTTTTTTCACTGAAATATCACCAGTAGTCATCTATACTAATCATACTGTTTTCTTGATCTCTGAGGTCAGTAGGCTTACAAGATACTTTCTTACCTTGGATATTGTATGAAACTGAAAAACAAGCAAACAAATCTGTACTATGGGAGGGTGGACAATGAATGACATGACCTAAACCTTCAAATAGAGAACACGGTTCCCCAGTGATGGAGGTGTGGGTGGGGATATAGCTCAGCTTCATAAGCACCTACACAAGGTCCTGAGTTCGATCCCTGGAACTCTTGAGACCATCTTTGCGGTGACCCTGTAGCAGTAGGACAGCTACTACACGCTCTGCCCTGAATCCAGGGTGCCGTGGCAACTTCTTCCCATCTACATCCGAGCATGTGGGTTCTCCTGCTCCCTCCTCATTTCTAGGGCTTTCCCTAAACCTGCTTGGCCGCCAGAACCATGCTTCCTGCTCTCCATGCCCCCTTCTGCCCTCTTGCTGCCTGACAGACCGGACAGAGCCGGGAGCCCCTAAGCCACCTCGTCTTGCGCTTGCATCTTTTCGCCTGCCTCTCCAGGGAGAGGGCGAGTTGTGCTCTCTGCCACTGCCCCTGTGATCACAGGGAGTGGCCACGGGCACCTTCTCTTCAGCACATTTTGCCCTGCGCTAGGGTTGGTTTCTTTCTGTGGCCACACTAGTAGGAGCTGTCTCCAGGGATGTTGGCCCTCACCACAGGCACTGTGTCTTTCTCTGCCAGTTTGGGGCCTTTTGTCCCCAGGGAGAGGGTATTTTGGGCCTGTTTATGATAGTTCTTATTTTCACCCTTCTCTTGGCAGTCGGCTTGCTGCCTGCTTTGTTCCCCTGTCCCACACAGCTCCCGGCCCAGGTCCCTAGCTGCTTGACTTGTGTAGCAAAGAAAAGAGGAAAAGAAGGGAGACAGAAATCCCTCTTCTGGTTCTGTAGCCCACATAGTGTCTAGGACATCAGCCTCCTGGGACTTGTGGAGTCGTCAGTCCTGTCACCTGGCCCGAGGAGCTTGCTGGGCGCAAGCTTGGGACTGAGAACGCTCTCCTGTCCCAGGCTCAGCCCTAGCAGCTGTGGTCTAGGGCCGTCACCTCCCCTTCCTGCCAGTGGGCCAGGCCCAGCCCCACCCACTACCTCAGCACTAGCACCCAGCGCAGGCTGTGGGGCCCCCTTAGAACTCAAGCAGGGGAGCGTTGCCCTGCAGGGCGGCCTGTGAGGGGTCTCAGCTCTGAGTCCTGGGGCGTGTTCCATAGAGCAGACTGGGGCCAGTGTTTCCTCTTCTAGTTTAGCTTTGATCGAAACACATCCTGCACTTCAAATCGGGAGTAGAATTTAAAGTGCGCATTCTTATTTACAATGAAAGAGAGAGAGACCACCTTCTCATATATTTGTCAGAAGAAATTTTTGCTTCAAATGAAATTCCAGAAATTTTTTTATTGTTAGTCTAGCATAGTGCATTGATCTTGACTCTGACACGTGGGCTCTGAGCCATGGGGGAAAGCGTGTTAGCAGCTTTAGGAAATCAGTAAAGCTCGTCTGTGCATTACACCGTCCTTCAGTTTTCCAGGGCACTTCGGGGGCGGGGTAAATATTTTCCGGTTGGGCAATGTCTCCAGTGGCCTTGAGTTGAGAAAGGCACAGGCTGTTTTATTCAGCAGAACTTGCTCAACTAAGTAGTCAGCCTTTCCCACCGTGGGGTTCTTTTCCTTTTGAACTCATTTGTAACCCAGCCTTCGCCTGGTTCCTCCTCTCACACTCAGGTCACTGCTGACAGCGGAGGGCTGCTCTCTGGTGGTGTGTGTCCCTCCCTTGTGGTCTGTGACAATCATGAAGAAGTGGTGACTTCAGCTCCATAGTGAAAGCTGGTCACTGTGGCCAGCTCAATTGTGCCAGCCCACCCGGCGCTAGGCGGTTCCCGGGAGCAGCACCAGATCTCATCCTGATGCTGCGCCACCAGTGAGGAGGGCCTTTTGTGCCCCTCATTGAGCGCAGCCCTCCCACAGCACACCGTGTGTGTGGAGCTGTGTGTGGCTTTTGTCAGTGATGTAGGTCTTCTGCTACAAGAGCAGATGGTCAAGGAAACTCCTTAAGCCAGGACTGTAAATTCAGTTTGATGCTCCCCAGTCCACAGTGGGCCGTGGTCCTGCAGGCCGGCCAGCCCCACTCCTGCCATGCCTGCCTGTGTTGTGGAGGGCAGTTAGTGTGCGACTGTCATTCATCCACAGAACTGGGTTTTTAGCAGATGCTTGATTTGTCATTTTGGATGCATTTACTATTGTAAGGAAAATGCTATAAAGACCATATAAGTTCCAGATTCCAAACATACCATCCCCACGTCCATCCTGCTAAACACAAATCTGTTTAATGTATCTGTATTTTAAGTCTTGCTGCTTTTATTATCTAGTGAAGTTCCAAGTTGCGAAGTCTGCTTCAACGTGTGTTCAGATGATGGTGTTTTGTGTGTGATAAAGTTATCTTTTTAAACAGTCCTATTGAAAAGCAGTCATTTGCAATGAACATACATAAATTAGGCACATTATACTGAAAGTTCAAAATATTTGAAGATTGCAGCTTGTGAAATTGTACTCCCCGAATCCAGTAGGCTAGCACAAAAATGGTGCTAACTTGATTTTGTTGGAATGTCCCTTGTGTCCTGTGCTGTGGCCCACATGTATGGGTCTCTTTTTGGGGTAACTTTCTGTTCTTTCGCTGGTATGAAACTTAGCGAAGTTAGAAGTAATTTGAAATAGTAACCTTTCGTATGAAGTTGCTTTGTGGTTTACAAGTAACACTGATGCAGAAGGATGTGTTAACTTTCTTACATTAAGCAGCACGCACTTTGTTTCTAGGCTTGGTGTGTCTCGGGGTCCCTGTGGGGCCTGACCCCTGCCCTGGGGACCAGACGCATTGTCATTGTGCGGTTCTTTGGTACCAAGGATTAGTGAAAGTGTTTTATCTTTTTTACGTAGTTTGTATTGACTGGATTTTATAACTGTAAGAAAACAGAAACAGAGTGTTGTATTTTGATCTGAAATTTGTGTATGGTACAAGTAATTTTGTTTTCTGCATTGGAAGTTCATTTAAAACTTGAAATATTTTCTAGAAGGGTACTGAACAAAATGGATTGTCTTTAAGCTGTTTAATTAACCTAATAAATGAATTTGATGGGGAAGGCATGCTGGTTATTTCTGGTTTGTAAGAGTGGTTCCTGCTGGGTCAGAGTGTGGATGTGATGGGATTCAGTTCTTGAAAATCCTGTTGATGTTTCATGCTGGGATTTGTACAGCCCCATGTCAGCTCCTAGACCAGCTGTCCTGGAAGTCCTTGTGTGTGTGGTGCCTCGGTCTCCCCTACCTGTCCAAAAAAGTGTCTGTCATCTTCCCTCAAAGATGGTTGCTATTGGGGGCTAGGGATATAGCTCAGCAGAATAAGTTCTTGCCTGGCAAGTGCAAGGTCCTGAGTTCAATCCCTGGTACCACCAAAAAAAAAAGGTTGTTATCATGGTTTGGGGTTTTTGCAAGGGGAACAATACAATACAGGACATTTTATAATATTTTATAATGAATCACCCAAGAATCATATACAAGAACTGCAGGAAATCTATCCACACACTAAACACTAAAAAATCCAGCTGAGGGTCTAGATCCTAATATCCTGCATGAGTCCAGGTGAAATCCTAGAGTTCATACAATGCCTTAGGTCCAGCTGGAGGCCTAGAGCCCACGACAAAGTCTCATGCAGGCCTGCTTCACAGATCTGTGCTGGAAAGGCCCAAAGGTCAGTGGTGCCAGCAGGCTGAGGGAACTGAACTGGACCCAGGAAGCAGTGCCCAAAGCAAGCATCAGAGCTCCCCCAAAGATACCACAGCCGTCCTCAGAACACGCGTCCCGAGCTGCTCCAGCAGCGAGGAAAGCTGAGTTCTGTCAGGAAAGCCAACACGACAAGCCTCTCCATGAGGCTGAGCAGTGCACTGTCTTCTCCTCCTCCTTCTCTAGCATTGCCAGGAAGCAACACTCAAGATGACCAAAGCTCCTCCAAATTTCAGGAAAAATAGCAAGGAAACAGTATTCCAGAAGAACAGCTCAAGAGACTTAGCAGCTTTTAGCAGTTCAACAGCTGTGCCACACACCATCCCCAACAGAGTTCCAGCAGCTTCTCCTGTTCTGCCCCCCCCCCTTTTTAAATGTATTTGGTACAGGGTCTCACTATACAGCTCTGATTCGTAGGGATCCTCCTGTTTTCAGCCTCCCCAGTCCTGGGATTACAGGCATGTGCCACCATGCCCAGTCTCAGTGGGCAGCTCAGCTTGCCCAGGGGCGGGGCTCAGTGTAGCATGTGGTGCCGGGCATCAAACTGCAGTCCCTGCGCTTGCCTAAGCAGACGCATAGTCCACTGAGCTATCTTGCTGGCCCTCTGTTCTGCCATTTCTGCTGCTAGCAACAATCCTCAGGTGGGCCTCCCACACCCAGCATCATGCTAGTCTAATTCAACTGGGTGTAGTAAGTTGACTGCCAGGTAGAAAGCCACTACAGTTTCTATGTGCCTTCCTCCACGGAGGGAAGCTCGGTGTCAGCAGAGCAGAGGAGCCCACACGGCAGGTCCAGCTATACGTTGTTGAATTCCCTTTGTAGAGAATCAGTGCCCCCAAGTTTCCTCTTGCCACCAAGACAGAGAGGGTGACCCTATAAAACTTGGTGGTATAGAAAACTGTCAAAGGCAGGTCTGCCAGACAATGTGAGGCAGAGGGCCAAGGACACCTCCTGGGATGTCCATGATAAGGGATGTGTGGCCCTCACTGCCAGGTTACCTACAGGGCGCCAGAGGAATATCCTCCCGGGAGCAGAGAGTGCAGTGTCCTGCAGGCCTGGCAGAGCAGAAGCTTTGTCATTTTTCCCACCTGGCCCCGACCACAAGGTGATGGTGGGCACAAGGGCAGACCACTGTGGGATGCCCCAGAGGCCAGGGCTCAGGAAGTACAATAGTCATGTGGCATGACTAGAGCCATGGGACAGCAAGCCTCCAGTGCCCAGCACCCTGCCAGCAGCCTGGAGTCCCAGGACTTGGCGTGTGCCTGTCCTGTCTATGTCCCTGTCCCCAGCTGCAAGGCCTTCTCAGTCTCTGCCCTTGCAGCACCTCCATTCCTCACCCCTGAGGTCAGGCCCCTCGTAAGACTTCTTATCCAGGGAAGGAGCGTGGTGGGGTGCAGTGGCAGACTCGAGGAAGCCCTGGCCCCTGCTCTCCTCCCTGCCCATGTCCCCTGTGCTGGGCAGAGGAGGCCCCTTGCTGGCTTCAGTCAACGGGGCTCTGTGGGGCTGCAGGGTGGCTGCAGGCAGTGTCCCTCCATTGCTTCTAATAGGAAAATGAGTACTTTGTCCTTACAGCCACCTAACATTGTGGTACACAAAATGATGTCCTCAGCTTCAAAACTGTCCACATCCTCATCCCAGAACCAGTGAGCTTGTTACCTGGCATTGTTTTCTGGTGATAGAGTCTTGCTGAGTTGCCCAGGCTAGGCTTGAACTTGCAATCCTTTTGCCTCAGCCTCCCAGAATGCTGGGGTTACAGGTTTGCCCCACAACGCTTGACCAAATGAAGGCTTTTGAGATGGCAGGTCATCCTGGGGTTTTCTGGGTGGGTCCAGTGTCACCACAGGAGTCCCTACAAAAGTAAAGCAGGAGGGTCAGAGGAAAACAGAGATTGGAGCAGGGCAGGCAATGCACAGCCCCAGAATGCAAGGGGCCAGAGTCTCCCTGGAGCCTGCAGGGAAGCCACTTGCCAGCCTGGGAGCCCAGGCCTGGGCAGCTGACCAGGGTCTGAGGCAATGTATGGAGTCGTTAAGCCATGGACCACCCCCGCACACAGGTGGGAATGTGGCTCATCCAGCGGAACCAGGAGTACAGCACCACTGCCCTGCCAGGACTGTAGGAACAGGACTTCTGCCCCTGAGGGGGTGGGGCAAGGCCGGGGTCAGCTGAGCCTCATCCCAGAAGCCATGCTGCTCAAACCTCCCATCTCAAGCCTGTAGCCTCATCCAGGGCCTTCTCTTTCTCAGCTTCTCAGAGGCAGCTGGGGACCCCATTCAGCCTGTAAAACCTGCCCCTGCCCAGCCCTCCTCCTGCTGTCCCTGCTCACAGCCCCAGAGCCTTTTATGAGACCCACCTCTAGCTGGGTACAGTGGTGCAAATCTGGAATCCTAGGCTCTTGAGAGGCTGAGGCAGAAGGTGGCAAGTTTGAGCCCAGCCCGGGCAACTTCATGTGACCCTGTCTTAGAATAATCAAAGAGTGGGAGGTGTAGGAAAAGAAAGGTCCCCATCTTTGTCCCCAGCCTAATGCCCTTTTTCTCACACCCCAACATATGGAAAAGGAAATCCAGCCATCTCACTGTGTCCTCCAAGCCACCACAAAGGGCCCTAGTCCACTGCTCGGCTTTGCTTTGGTGACCCCAGGCCATTGGCCTGAGTGGAGCCTGTCCACCGCCTCATCCTGGCTCCCAGCTCCTCATCCTCCGGGCGCAGCATCCCGGCTGCCTTTTTCGGCAGCTTCTGCTGCTCCTTGCCAGCCCTGTGTCACAAGGGCTCAACATGGAAAGGCCCATACTGGTGGCAATGAGAGGGACCTACAGGTGTACAGCGAAGACAGACACCACCCAGGGCTCTCCCTGGCCCTCCCCTTCTCTGCTTGCAGTGGCCTGGCTAGCTGGGAGAGGGCTCTCACTCGGCTCTTTGATCAACGATCAGGCAGCACAAGCCAGAGAGTCCCAAGAGGAAGGACAGCAGCCTGGTGTTGACACCCAGCGTGGGATACTCGGCTGGCCCAGAGCCGCAAGGGAGGGTGGCCTTAGGGCTGCCTTATCTTCTGAGTTTTGCATGGATGCTGGAATGTTATCTAGTTTTAAAAACTTTTTAAACTTGTAGTGGTGCACGCCTCTCAACCCCAGCCCTGGGAAGCTGAGAAAGAGCATCTTCATGAGTTTAAGGCCAGACTGGGCTATATAGTGAGACCCTGTCTTTAAAACATAAATAAAAAACCCTAATGTTTTAAGTCTAACACTGTCATCCCAAGCCAGCATGTGCATGATCTTGATTTGTGACTTCTGCCTCCTCCCGTCACCTGGTTCATCTGTTGTCGCCTTAACTGGTTGAAAACCATGGCTATGGTGGTACCCAAACACAGAAGTTCACTTTCCCATTACCTGCTTCAGGCTGGTCTTGTGCCTTGAGTGTGTCAGGAGGGTGGCAGGGGCCACCCTGTGTTCATTCCAGGGCCTGAGCCCCAAACAGCCTTGCAGCCATGGGGGGCCCCTGGGACCCTGCAGTCACTATGCAAGGAAGCCCCAGCCTGGACTGCTGATCCCAAGAAGCCACGTGGACAGAAGGACCAGCTGACTACCACACCAAGGCGCAGATGTGTGCCTGAGGCCCGGTGAGCCCACTGCAGCCACAGCGGAGCCATGGGTGACACCTGAGGTCATAAGGGACCATAGCAAGCTCAGCAGAAGAACCGGCCTGCGGAGCTCGACCACAAAAGAAAACTGATGTTTGGAAGCCACAGGGTGTTGGTGAAGCCGTCATTAAAAGTGGAGAGATACCCTTTATTGTCGCCTCTGCTCATCTGTGTTTATTCTTTTGCTTTTTATCTCTTGTCCCCACCCACCCACTCCCATACGCCCCGGGAGCCCATGGACTTTGTCTTGCCCTGTCCGGTTCCCAGGGCCTCAAGTGACTCCCAGGAGGTATTCAATAAATATTTGCTGAGTGACTAAATGACTGTGTACGTCAGCAAGCATCAGCCGTGGCAGCCCCTGGTCACAGGACGCAGCCAGGGACCTGAGTAGTTCAGGGCCCCGTGCTGGAACTCAGGGCCTCTGGGCATGTTCCTGGCTGCTGTCATGTCACTTAGAGAGGTCTCGGCCCCGCAGATGCTAGCACATCAGTGGCTTCACACACAGGCAAATATGCCCACCAGACCAGGCTGGGTCCGGGTTGACACCTGAAGCCCTACATTCGTCCCCTTCCTATTCATACCATGCCCCACCCCCACAGGGGAACCCAGGAAATGTTCGCCGCTTTTTCTTTGTTTGGGGGAAGATTCCAGCTTGGGGAGGGACACAGTTTCAGAGCTCAGGATGCTCAGGTCCTGGAACTGCAAACAGAGTCCTGAGGTGGTGTCCTGCCCTGAGGCTGGGACAGCTCAGCAGGTCTCCTCTGTCCATGAAGTCCCAGCTAGGAGTATGTTCGTAACAGAGGATGGGGCTTGGCTTAGAGACAAACTGCATCATCCCTGCCACTCTCCAGCCTCTAATCCCCCTTCCCAGCATCACATCCAGCCTCAGCCTCTGCGGGGGACATGGCCAAAGCTGTCATCCAGTGTGCTAGGCACCCCTAGGCCATCCCGGGTCCCAGCCACCAGTGTGAGCACCACACTACCGCCTACCAGTGCACTCTATCTTGAGGCGAAACCTCCAGACCTCCCCAGACAGGAAACAGCCTGCAGCATCACTGGAAACCCACAGGGACCCAGTTCACCTCCTCTTGGGAAGCCAAGGTGAGTGACTTAAGAGTGAGCCACAGCAGGACTTTGGTGGCCTCTGCTTGCCCCCACCCCCTGCAGGCCCTGAATTTCTCCTGTCACATCTAGGGGATCAGGGGGCTGGCATCTTGCACCTTAGAAGAAACAGGGCCAGGCCCTGCCTGGTCTTAGCACACGACCTTCCAGGGCCCACGAGAGACAGGGAGGGATGGGTGACCTCACTGGAGTGGGGCCTGGCAGGGTGGAACAAAGCCTGCCTTTATCTCAGGCGACTCCATTTGTCTGAGTGGGCGACTGCCTTGTACCCAAGGGAGAGGAGTCCAAACTCCACTCTGAATCCCGCTGTGATCCACGTCAGGACAGAGGTGTGGACTCCTGGGTGGGTGTGTGGAGGCCACACCCTGCTTCCTGGACACCTGCCAGCGGCCCACAGCTCAGGGCCAAGACTCAGCCCTGCCCTGCACGTGTCACCTCCACAGGAACAGCAGGCACCCGGGCTCCAGTCGCGGCACTGGGACCCCCTTGGGCCAAGTTCCACACTAGTGAACACTGAAAGCCTCGCTATTCAGCATTCACCCGGTGCCAGGCTCTGAGCAATTCCTATTGCAAGCACCAGTTCCTCTACCTCGTGGGATCCCTCTGGGATAAACACTGTCACCAGCATCTGTCTCCCAGGTGAAAAACCAGGCATGGAGGGCCCAGTGCAGGACCCGGATTAAACAAACTTCTTTGCCTGTGCAGACACGGAAAAAAAAGAGACAAGAGGCCAGGTGGGGCATAGTGCACGCCTGTGATCTCAGCACTCCGGAGCTGAGGCAGGAGGAGCGCCGTGAGTTCAAGGACAGTCCTGCACTACATAGGACTCTCTCTCTCTCTCTCTCTCTCTCTCTCTCTCTCTCTCTCCCCCCCCACCAAAAAAAAAACAACAAACAAACAACCGCTAGACATTGTAACACACACCTGTAATCCCAGCACTCCAGAGACCAAGGCAGGAAGATTGTTGTGAGTTTGAGACCAGCCTGGGTTACAAGGTGAGCTCAAGGCCAGCCTGAGCTACATCGTGAGACCCTGTCTCAAAAAGATCCCTTCCCACCCCCAAAATTATAAAAATGAGAGAAAACTCATGGAGCAGGGGAGATGGCTCAGTGGAATAAACGCTTCCCTGGCAAGCTCAAGGGCCTGATTTCAATCCCCGGTTCAAAAAAAACAAACACCTCAATCTCAGAGCCAGGCACAGTGGCACTCACTTGTAATACCAGCACACAGGAGGATTGTTGAGAGTTTGAGACCAGCGTGTGCTACTACAAATGAGCTCAAGGCCGCCTGAACTACATAGGGAGATCCTGTCTCAAAAAAACCCACCTCAGTCTCCTCTGCCCTACTACCACTTTCTCACGCTGCACTGGGGCCATCTTCTCCCTGGGCCTCACTTGGGATGCCAACAGCCCCCAGCCTGACCTGTTCCTTTCCTGCCCGACCAGGCCATGCACACAGCAGGGGATGAATGTCCAGCAGAGGGCGCTTGAAGCTCGCCTGGTCCTGGCCAGAACAGGGAGTAGGCGGGTCCCAGTCCTGTCCCTTCTCCGCAAGCCTGGCCAGGTGTAGAAGGACCCCTGGGGCTGGGAGCGCTGGCGATGACGCAGGGGCGTAACGGAAGGCCCCCAGCCCAGGCCTGGGCTTGCAGACTCTCCGCTGTGCCTTCTGGGACCTGTTAGCGCTGCTGCCCTAGGAGCACAGGGGCCTCTGACAGGCAGGTGGTCAGGCTGACAGGGTGCAGGCTTTGGTGCCACCATGCAGGGGCATGACCTCTCTGTGCTTCAGTTTCCCTATCTGTAAAAGTGGGGACAGTAATTAGCTCAGATGCGGGGCCGGCACAGCATGTAGTGCCGCAGGAGACAGTAATCTGACTGGACCTGCATGGGGGGCTGCTGGGAAGGTTACAGGGGCATGGCACCGGGCTGCATTAGGAGGCGTATGATGAGCTTCCTCCATGCTTATTATTTATTGTTTTGTTTCTTGAGACAGGGTTTCGCGGTGTACCCCAGGCTGCCCTTGAACTCATGCGATCCTCCTGCCTCAGCCACCTGAGTGCTAGGACTATAGGCATGTACCACCACACTCAGCTGTTCAAGATACTCATTTATTAACCCAGATGGCGGTACCGCTGTCTCGTCCTCTCGTCTCCTCCAGAAGACCTGGGCCTCCCCGAATCTTGCTGCTCCCAGATGCCTGGTCACAGCACAGGCCCCTGGACAGTGCTGCTACTTGTACTGCCCCACAACACCCCTGGCCCTGACCAGCCTCCTCCGCCTTGCCTTGGTCCACCCTGCAGAGGGCGAGTCCAGCCATGACTCTCCTGGCCTAACACCATCGAGCTCCTCAGGCTGAGTCTGAGTCCCCTAGCCTGGCTTCAAGGCCTCTGGTGACCCCCTCAGCCTCATCTTGCTAGGTGACAGCAGGGCCCAACTGAGGCTCTCAGGCAGGAGTTGATGACTCTCATCTATCTTTAAGTGTTTGCACCTCTTACCAAAGATAGAAACTTTAAAAATCACTACAAATCTGAGGGACAGCCGCTCTTCTGACAAAAATCAAACGCTTTAGAACATGCCTTCTGCCAGGCATACCGTGGGGCTGCACCTGTAATTCCAGCACTCTGGAGGCTGAGGCAGGAGGATCCCACATTTCAGCCCAACCTGGACAATGAAGCAACCCTGTCTCAAAATTTTTAAAAATAACATAAAAAGATCTGGGGATGTAGCTCAGTTGAATCCCTAACTAAAAAACAAACAAACAAACAAAACCCAGAAGTGGGAGAGGGAGGAGGAAAAGAAGAAACAAAAGTAGAAGCGCCTTCGCTGGCCACTTCCTGCCCTCGCGGTGGATGACGTCAGCCGCTCGCTCGCTCTGTGAAGGGTGACTGCGCCCGAGTGGATTCAGGTGCAGTCTCCGGCCACAGGAGCCCCTGCCTCTGCTGGGCGCCTGGCCTCCGTGGGTGGGGTCCCAGCTGGGCCAGCGCAGGGCAGAGAGGTGGGCTCAGCTTCCCTGGGGGTGGCAGCAGCTCCCGCACCGGCTGGTGGTGGGGCTCTGCGCTGCCTGGGTTGATTTACCTACTTGCTCGCTGCCTGATTACTTTTCGCGGTAGCAGAGCCGGAAGCCAGGGCCTGCTGCGAGAGCTCTGCCCTGAGCCGCACCTCTACCCTTCCCACGTTTCTATTTTGCGATAGGGTTTCACTAAGTCACCAAGTTGCCAGAGCTGGCTGGGAACTTTCGACGCTCCTGCCTCGGCCTCAGGCGTCACTGGGACTGCAGGCTCATCCGCCACATCCGGTCACGTGCTTCTAACTGGAACTTGCGGTTGCTTCCAGGCTCGTAGCTTTTTCCCAGGGGCTCATCAGCCTCCAGGCCCAGCGCTCCTCACATAACACCAATGTTTGGTGACGTGCCTTTCGCTCTGGAGCCTGGGAATCCTCCGTACGTAACTCACCCATGCACGAAGCGTCCGCCAGGCTTGGCAGTGTGCGCCTGTGCTCTGGTACTGGGGAGGCTGAGGCTGGAGGATCGCTGCAAATGTAAGGCCAGGCTGGACTGCAGAGTGAGTACAAGGCCAGCCTGAACTATACAGCAAGACCTTGTCCCAAAAAACAAAAGATGGAAAAAACAGACATCAACATTGTGCCCTCGCTGTAGTATAACAAGGACTAAAAGGAAGACAATTTACCTTAAAATCACATGAGGGACGCTGGATCTTGTCCAGGACATGAAGGAGAAATGAGTCACTTGTCCCTGTGAGAGGGTCCCTGGGGAGGTGACGGCCGCAGCTGTCAAGGGTTTTCCAGGATGGTGACAACTCTGCAGTGTCCAGCCCAGGAAGAGCACAGCCGACCTCTGGAGTCTGGGGGTGGCGCTGGAGAAGTTGGGGGCTTGTTCACAGAGGAGTGGAGTCCTTCACCTTGAGGCCCAGAGGGGCAGTGGCTGTCTAGGACCCACACTGTGTCAGTAGGGTACTGTCTGGAATGGAGCCAACATCCAGGCCTCCTACCTACACCTGCAGAACTGGATTTGGTGAGTAAATGGATTTCCCATTAAATCTTTGCACGCTGTCTTCCCTCACAGGGTCTCAGGCTGGCCTTGAGCACACAGCAATTGTCCTGCCTCGGCCTCCAGAGCCTTGGGATGACAAGTGGGTGCCATGCTCAGCCCCTCCCCTTTTCAAGGAAGAGGACCTATTTTTTTCTGTGGCTCTCCAAGTCCTCATGTCCTCTCAAGCACAGCTGCCAAACAAACAGCCCCTGGAGCGCTGTTCCCTGCCACTACATAGCTCAGGCTGACTTTGAACTAGCTGCGATCCTCCTGCCTCAGCTTCCAGAGTGCTAGCATGACAAGCGTGCACCACCATGGCCAGCAGTATAAATAATTTGAAGAATGAAATGAAAGATGACAGGAAACAGGGAGCTAGAGATTTTGCAAAGGGGAAAGAGACCAAGAGATGGAGGGGATAGGGAAGCAGGGAAGGGAAGCAGAAATAGAAGGTATGAAAATGAGTAGCGCGTAGGCACCAAGCCCCGTGAGGGACAGTCCCCGTGTGTGCTGCAAACTCGTTCTCATAAAACCAAAAAGTGAAAAACAGCAGGGAGGAGTTCGGAGCTCACTCCGTGCAAAGGCCCGGGGGCCAACCAGGAGCACCACAAAGAAACAGTCAGACGGGGGCAGGGCCCTCGGAACCCTGACCACACACCCAGAGACCCTAACTGCACACACGGACACTTGTCTTCCCAGGAAGGCCACACTCGTAGCTCACAGCGATCAGGATGGATGTATGTTTTGGGGGATGCACCCCGCAACAGGTACTGAATGTTTGAGGTGGACGCGAGTCCCTCGTGAGCGGCCTGCAGCCACCTGTCACCTGTCACCCTCCGCCAGCCCCCAGGGCCCCTTTGAAGGTGGTTGCAACACAAACACAGACAGAAGCACACATGGTGCGTCATTTCTACGCAAGGGAAGCCTGGGAAGCCTCGCCCCAGGCTGCTCCCAGCACTTGGCTTTCTTGCTGAACGCATCGTCCCTGCAGCTGCCTGCTCTGAGTCCTGGGGACGGATACGGCAGGGTTTCAATTCCAACTCTCTCTTCCTGGTGGCTTCAGCTTGTCTGCCATTCCCACTGAGCCGTGGAGACCTTTGGCCAGTGACCTCATTGTCCATGTGCCCTCAGATGCCTCGCTGCCCTTGCTTGCTTTTCAAAAGACAATACAGCGAGATTAAAAACAATTCTTAATTCTGAAAAATCTCCCCTCATTCTGCCACCCCCACCACCCTGTGTACCCCCTTCGGCTCCAGGATCGTGTGAAGTCACAGGCCAGGCCCGTGCAGGTTCATCCTGTTCTCTGATTGCCACGTGTGTCCTAAGCTCTGTCCAGGGAGCTCCCTGGCGCAGTGTGACACTGTGTCCTACTCGGGCAGTGACACATGAAACTGTCAGATCATGGAGACCATGGCTCCACGTGGACTCCTAGCTTTTTCTCTTCCCGTTGTCCCCACTCAGGCTGCTGGAGCTCCCCCAGCTGTGGGCCTGGCTCAGCTACTCGGCCTCGCTCAGTCGCTTCCTTCTCTTATCCTGTCTCCTTCTCTCCACCTGGACCAACGGCCTCTGGTTCCTGGAATTCAGGAGGTCCCTAGGGTGTGGGACTTAAACCAGCCAAGGCCCAGGCAAATCAGGACACGTGAGTTAGCCTGTTAAAGGGCACATGATGAGGACGACACAGCGATGCACACTCGTAACTCCAGTCATCTGGGAGGTTGAGGCAGGAGGACTACAAGTGTGAACTCAGCAGGTTCCACACTCTCCGAGCTTCTGGCTTCAGTGCAAATTACTCAAGCCTTCTGAGGGACTTGGGGCTCAGTGTGGACCCCCAGCCCCCGCCTCGCTTGACCCTGGCCTCGCTGCCTGCTGTGTTGGCACAGAGACGCTGCCATTGCCTGGACTGCGCCTCTTCTGAGCTTCTCCCCGCGGCTGTTGGTTTATTTATGGGCACTGGGATTTGTGCGACTTTTCGCTGGAAACTGGGTGTGTGTTGTCTGGCTGCTGGCTTCTTTCTTAGTATATTTTTGTTCTTTTCTGTGAACACAACAAGAAAGATGGATTTGAATTTTCTGTTTCTTTATGAAAAGAAGCAGGAAGAGAAAATTGCTATTGCATGTTGTTCTTTTCGAAGTTTCCGTGTGTGCAAGTCACCCTGAGTGTGCAGCAGGGCTGGCAGCGGAGCAGGGCAGCTGCCGCGTGGGGGTGAAGTGAGAAGGTACTTGCCCAGACTCCTGGCTACCGTCCTATGTGGGGCCTGGCCAGCCCCTACCCAGGAGGCAGTGGGCATCAGTGGACAGCACCAACCAAACCGCCTACTTCCCTTCCTTATCTTTTCTAGCCGACCCAGTCTTACATATACTTGCCAAACGCTCCTCTAATCCCCAGCCCTTTTTAAATTTTTATTTTGAGACAGGGCCTTGCTGAGTTGCCTGGGCTTGCTTCAAACTTGTGATCCT